AAAACTTTTTATCTGTTCGAATTAATAGGGATGGTGATGGGGATGATTGAGAATGATAGCTTTCTTGATCAGACATACGATAGGTGATCTATCTCTATTGTAAGTACATATATTGGAGGTGGCAGCATTGCAAGTTGCGTTTGGATTTGCACATGTAGTAGATCTTAAGGGTTGAGGATATTTTGGTGTAAATTTCGGTAAGCAAAAGTTGTATATGAGGAATTGTGGAATGGTTCTACTTCAACTACGACAATAATGGTGGCCGCTCAAGTTCATCTATTCAAGCTAATCAGTTTACTGGACAATGGTATGTGGCAACTGATTAACTTCATTCATTGATATTCTCAATTATCCAGCCCTGATAAATCTTGATTTATTTATAGTGTTTCACATGTTTCTGTTTCTCAATATATATTCTTTTTAGTTCAGTATTAAGACTAGAACTTACCAGGTGTGTCTCTAATGTGTTAATCTATTTTTTTAAGTGGCAATACATTTTGGAAGTTTTAATGCATGTGTCATCTTTTTCCCTACTTTTTGTGGAAAATTAAGTTTTACTACTTCAGTCAGATTTTGCATATACATGGAATCAGGGGATAAAAACATTAATTGTTCTTTGGAGTTCCTTTATCTAAGTAATTCTGTAAAATTGAATGACTAGAACTTGTTCGATGCAGTTGTCTCACTGGTTTGACTGCTTGAGATTTATGCAAGAATATGATCCATCTGTACGTTATTTTCACCTGATGGTATTGCGAAGGCAAGAAATCTCTTCGAGCGTGCTATAACTGCTGCTGGTTTGCATGTGCTGAAGGCAGTAAATATGGGAAGCATACAGGGAATTTGAGCAGGCCAATCTCCATACCATAGATGAGATCAGCATTAAGGTGAGAATTATAATTATTATTAGAAACTTTTTAGAAAATGTGCCTGAAGGGGATGCATTCTATTAATCAATTTACGATTATTTAAAGTCTATTTCCATCCTGCTGGTTGGTATTATGGTTAAATGCTTTTGTGGGTCTTCCTATATTTCCTAGAACCATGGCTCAAGTTGCATGCCCTGTTTATTTTAGAAACTTTTTTTCTTCTTTTGTCATCTATGTATAGTTCATAAAATTTGTTCTTCCATTTCCCTATGAAGTGCTATATACCAAGAAAAGTATCTGTTTTCAAAATTTACATTTGAAATTACTGCTCTTTTGTAGGAAAAAGAAAAACAGGTTCACACCGAGTATATTTCACCGTCAGTGTCTGTTCCCTTGCTAATTAAGGTCAATCCTTCTTGCCTACAAGTCTTGGGAGGTGGAACTGGGGACTGCTCTAGATATGAATCAGGTGATTTAGATGGGATTCCTTCTACTGTTGCTCAGCGTACCAAAAGGCATTGGAGATGTATAATGCTCGAGCTTATTTGAAGAACAGATTGCAAGGCAGGATATATTGACTCCGAAAAATTTCAACAATTCACGGTATATGGCATTTACTATCAGAATATGTTTTAGACAGATAAGATAATGCTGGCTTCTTATGTGATACCTTAAGAATTTAGGTTAAATGGTAACTTGATTATATTAAAGTGTAGAGGTCATGATTGAGTCTCCATCTATACATCCTGCTATATGGGTTGGTCTTTCTGTCTGAATTGGGTGTGGTTTATGTAACATGTGAAGTTGCCTGTTACAAAGCGAATATCATTTTTGTGCCCTTACCTTCAAGCTTAGCTTTTAGGTCAAGTTGTTTATCAACAAAGTTGCTGTTGAAATTTCATTAGTTTCAATTTATGGTCTTTCTTGCTTCTAATATAAGTATCAGTTTATGTAAACTTAGATCTTCTCTTCTTCTTTTCTCTGAGGGTGGGGGGTTGTATAAGAACTTGCAATGCGGCAATAGGTTACCTTTTTTTTTTTTTTTTTTTTTTTCCCTTCATTAAAGTGTTAATGCTATTATTTTAATTTGAAATTTTGGCGATCTACTTGAATGTTGAACAGTCTTAGAGATCAGCCGTGTTCCACTTCCCCTGAATGTGTTATTATGAGTTTCCTGTATCAAGTGATCTCTGGCTTGGTTATACTTGCTTTTTGGATAAAACCTTGAAGGTTTCACTCATATTTTATCTTTTCATTTCTTTATGTTCAGGTATTTGTAATTTTAGCAATTAATCATCTCTTTTTCCTTAGGTAGGAAATATGTGCGGGATGTTCATTCCAGGGCTAGGAAAAATTGTCCTTGGGTTGGTAATCTTTGGGTCGATTCTTGCTTGCTTTGGAACGTAGCCGTGTACCTGAGAAAGAGATATCTATTGTAAGTTTCAGTTGTTACCCTCAACTCTTGAGAATTATGAGAGATTGTTATAACTAGCTTAAGAGCAGTGAAGTTTCGCAAACTTTAGTGTTGGAATTTCATTCTGCTCCTTTACAAATAGAGGTTTACTCTTGTTTAAAAAGATTTTTATATCATATTCAGGGCTTTTAGAAGTCCCTTCTATGCACTTTTCGACCATTGAGGAGGTAAAGATATCTTTTCTCTAATTTGCAGGCTGACTACTACTCTTTGTAACTTGTTATTGTTCATCACGTTTTATGCATTAAAGATCTTTGTTAATTGGATCCTCTTTGTTTCATACCTAAACTTATTCCTCGCTCGAGTGGATGGTTTGAGACGAAGAATCCTTTTGCCTGTAGCAGAAGAGGATGCACTGAATTTTTCATTGATAAGGGAACGTTTCGGTGCGATAGTATACTGTTCATTTTTCTTGTTAAATTGTTTTACTCGATGTCAAGAACTTGAAGCTTCTCAAAGACATTTGTAGATGCTCATTCATGGTGAATTTTAGATGAAGAAAATGTGGACCTTGGAGCTAGTCTACTCTTCGGGGTCCAGGATAGAACTCTTACGAATGTGTGTCAAGTGCTTTACCTAGACTCTGAAGAAAAGTCTTTTAATTTACTTGATTTAGTGTGCGTTATAGTACCATTATGACCACTTTATGTAGAAGTTACAGTGCATAACTCCGATACTCCAAGATGGCTTTGCTAATTGCTAGATTGTTGCCTTTGTTAATTGTTTGTCATGGAATAGTGTCCTTTACTAAAAAATTCTCATTCAGCATTGGGTTGCATGCATGGAAGATATCTTTATGGATCTGTGAATTTATAAAATTTGCATGTCATATTCAACTGGTATATTGTTGTTGTATAATGGCTGTTTTCAATATTTGTGTTTTATAACAAGTAGCCTGATGTCTCTTTAGTGTACCATCGAAATGCAGGCCCTGTATGATTGGATGTATTATATATACTTGAATACTTAACGTGAAGCTCCTTTCAACGGGCGTCGGATACTTATCTCAACAGATGAAGAATATAGATGGTTTGCGCATTTGTATGCTTATTGGGCTCATTGGAGCTAAATTGGGAAAAGATCAAGTTGCAGCTTGGGGCTTTTGGGAGAGCCTGGTTTGGCCCATTCATCTTTTTCTCTTTCTTATCTTGTATATTTCAATATGTTGATTTATGATTCATCTTTGTATTTTTCCGTATAACTTGCTTATGTCTGTGCAGCGGGTCAATGTTGGAGCCTGACAATGTTATATAGCTATGGAAATTGAATTGGGACATTTAAATGAGAGTTTGATCACTCAACTAATACTGGTAGGGAAATTTCCTTAACCATGGCACTAGCTTCAATGGGTACCCAAATTGAATAGGAGGGAACCTTCCTTCAATTTCAGTTTCTCAAAGAAGTTTTCATTTTATTTGCTTGCCTTATAAAGAATATGCAATGGCCAAACAAGAAAGTAACATGTAATCAACAAACTTCATGCCCAATACACAAAACCAGCCATAAATAGAGTCTTGTTGGTTTGCACAAATTGATTAAAAAAATTTAGAAAGTCCAATTGATGAATTGCTTTCATTGAACTGCTCCTTTTGGCCCTCATCTTGCTTTCATTAATCTTGCTTCATATACATGTGAGCTATCTTACAAACAAACAATTTCGCTTATACACACATTGAGCATTGCTTTGTTTGTCAACTGTAACTGTTTTCTTGCCATCTTATTGATCCAAACAAATCCATTACCCAAATCACTTTCATCGACATAATGAACAAGAAAAAAAGTTTAACCTCGATTTTACTCAATTATAATCCAACCCTACCGTCGTCTTTAACTTCATGAGCATTGTTGTAATGTATCATGAAACAAAACTTCGTTAAAGAATAGATAAATAATCAACTGGACGATCTGATGGTAAAAGAGCAAAATGAGTTTTTATGAACTCTTAAGTTCGAGTCTCCTAAATACTAATAAAAGCGGCCACTGAGACTCTTACCAATTGACAGTTTTAAAACTCTGGAGAATATGGGATATTATAGAACCTTTTAACCTTTATAAATACTCGTTCATGACCTAACCGCATAAAAAATAACTATTTTTTCATTTACAAAGATAATTTTCATCGAGTTTATAATTAACTATTTATTGTTTGTGATTGAAGTAGTATGTCTATGGGAATGACCTCATACCACATATTACATATACCATCTAAGTAAAAAGGAAAAGGTACCATTAGGGTTTGGCTCTACACCTAGGAAAGAAAAAAAATATAAAATTTCTTTTCTTTGCTCTGAATTTTCCTTCAAACCAAACAAGTGAAAGAAAGTTAAAAGTAAAGACAAAACAGCCTTAAAAAATGGATCCAGTCTTCAGAGCACAATCTGCCCCCCTCTGTTTATTGCTGTCCTACAGCTTGTTACGTCGTGTCAAATTTTGTAACTGTAACTTCATCCAATTTCCCATTTTACCCCTCAAGGAATCCACCTGGGAAGTGGAGGCCATTGTCGTCATTTCACTAAACTTCCAACCACGAAAATCGTATGTAAACCAATCACCACCTGCCACCGCACTCACTAAAACTAAAAAACAAAAATAAAATAAAAAAGTACACGAACTTTTCAATCAAAACAAAGTCAACACGTGAAAACCCGAGTGTAACTTAACGAAATTATAACTCGAAGCAGGTGATAATCTCCATGCTCCGCACAGTAATTGGAAATTTCCGACAAGACGACGAAACTGACTCGGTTAAGTTTCGTCAAGAAGACTGCTTTACAATTAGATCTCTTAGAAGAGTTGAGGAGAGAGAAAGCGCCAAACGACTCACGAAACGTGGCGTTGCAGAGAAGGCAAAGCAGCTGTGGTAGTCTCGTCTGTATTTCTAGAGTTTTATGTTTTCAAAAGAGGGAAATAAATTAAAATCCAGAAGTTTTTCGTTTTGGCGGGAATTCAAACGCTTATTCATTAAGCGAGATTTGTGTGATTGGAAAGAGAACAAGACAGTGAATTTGAATTTCGAATCTTGTGAACAATTCAAGAAGGAAGAAAGAAGAGTTTGAGAGAGAGAGAGTTGGAGAAGCATGGGGCTGTCGGACAATTCGATGGGATTGATTTTAGCGGTCGCATCGAGCGCGTTTATCGGTTCGAGTTTCATTTTGAAGAAGAAAGGATTGAAACGTGCTGGAGCGTCCGGTACACGAGCAGGTCAGCGGAGCTTCAATTTTTTGAATAATTTTATGATCTCTACTGGTTTCTTTGTTTTCGAGTTTATTCGATTGACTTGTTAGTGTTTGATAGTTGCTGTAATGTTCAAATGAAAGTATTCGGAGCTGTAAATTCAGAAACTTATTTATTATTATTTTTGAATAGAGAAGATGAAAGATAACATGTTGAGATCTAGAGTGATCAAAGATGATTTTTTGGAGTTTGTTTTGAAGGTTTATGGGAGACATTTGACAGTATCTTTTCTCCTCTAAATGAATATGAATCATGTTATAGAACTATTGGATGAATGAGCTTTGAACCCTAGTAATTATTTTTGGGCTTATGCATTATTTGGTTCTTTAGTTGATTTTATTGTTTTGAATGATTCAGGAGTTGGAGGTTATACCTACTTATTAGAACCACTTTGGTGGGCAGGCATGGTGACAAGTAAGTAAAGCATTAACAATTTAAGTTACTTTCTTTCTGCCTTTCTTCCGCAATATATTTGTATGAAGTTGAATGGATCAATGACTTTTGTATTAATAGTGATTGTTGGAGAGGTTGCAAATTTTGTTGCTTATGTTTATGCACCTGCCGTTCTGGTCACCCCGCTTGGTGCTTTAAGTATAATTATCAGGTAATGTAGTAATTTGATGGAAGAAGAGTTTCACTTGATTTCCTTTTTAATAAAATTTGTGGCTGACTTGTTTGAAACTTGATTGGATCTGAGAAGTGCTGTATTGGCACACTTCATGTTGAAGGAACGACTGCAAAAAATGGGTGTTCTAGGATGTATCACATGCATTGTTGGGTCCGTAGTGATTGTAATTCATGCACCTCAAGAGCATACTCCAAGTTCTGTACAAGAAATTTGGACTCTGGCAACACAACCAGGTTTTTTTTTTTTTTTTTTTTTGGTTTATAGCTTTTTATTTGATATTTGTTATTAAGCTTCACTATCTTGAGAAATTAAATTTTTTCTTGCTGTCCTGTCTCCGTCTACAGCTTTTCTAATTTATGTAGCTGCAACACTTTCAGTAGTGTTAGCTCTTGTGCTGCACTTTGAACCTCACTACGGGCAGACAAACATATTAGTCTACTTGGGAATATGTTCTTTAATGGGTGCACTTACGGTAAAAATGTTTACTTTAAGTTACCAACTATCAATAGAAGTTCTGTTGTCAAGGTTTTATGACATATTTTGCTATGTTGTTCAGGTAGTAAGCATAAAGGCCATTGGAATTGCAATAAAACTTACATTAGATGGAGTAAATCAAATTGCTTATCCTCAAACATGGTTTTTTCTCACAGTGGCGGCAATCTGTGTCATTACACAGTTAAACTATTTGAATAAGGTGAGTCTCCTGTAATCTATGTCAGTAGTTCCTGTCATTCTGGTATAAGTCCTAGTAGTAGCTTGCATGTTTGTCATATGATATTTCAGAATTTTGAACTTGAGGTAAAAGTTTCTAATTTTCAGGACATAGATGATTTTGATCTTCTCAACATTCCAAAATACGGGGATCCTCACTCTTATGTGTTCCACTTGTTTCCCTTGACATAGTTTACTACTATATAAATTTCATATCTAAACCTTCTTTAGTGAAGAAAATAGGACTTTGCTGTCCCAATTTCTGAAGTTTATTGGGTGGATGAAATGACTAAACATGTCAATCAACTTGAGGTCCAACATTGTAGCATTGACAGCAGACTAACACTTGTTATGTGTTACTTCACTTACGCATTCGATAAATGAGCTTTCTGAAAACTTGGTGATTTTTTTGTTGAAATCAACCATTTTGTGGCTGTAATATATTTACGCGTTTTCAATTTCTCCAGTTTATACTATTTCCACTGATTGGTATAAAAATTTTAATTTTATGCCACTTCAGCTCATGATGCCATTAGTCATGTTTTTTTTGCGTTCTAGTGTGGAATTCATAGATCTGTTTAGTATACTTTGTTATATGTTTCAGACTGAACAGCGGGTTGCCTTTCTCAGGTTTACTGATGTTTACAGAATTTTTACTGCAGGCGTTGGATACATTCAATGCGGCAATTGTTTCTCCAGTATATTATGTGATGTTCACAACTCTGACAATTATTGCAAGTGCAATAATGTTCAAGGTGGAACTCTTGATCCATCCTGACAAATTATTCTAATGCAGCAATATGGTTCTACTTCCCCTCACAATGATCTAGACATGGTTAACTTAAATGGTATCTTGTCTTATATCTATTACAGGATTGGTCAGGTCAGGATGTGAGCAGCATAGCCTCTGAGATTTGTGGTTTCATCACTGTGCTTTCAGGAACGATCATACTTCATGCAACAAGAGAACAGGAACCTGCTACTGCGCCAGGTATTATTAGATATTGTATTTCTTTCATCTGGTTGGGGTTTTGGTTATCCAGGTTTAAACCATTAATATTGAGCTGGTCTCTTGCAACCAATTTATATGTTATATGAATTCCGATCAAAATAGTATTTGGAGTTCCTTGGCTCTTGAGGCTCCAGGCAATTTTTAATTTTCTATGCAAAAGCATCCACCTAACATAAATGTTGTTTCTGGTCTGACCTCTAGGGTGAGCCAGGTTGAGCAAGAAACAACTTTAATTGGCATCTAGCCATATCCCATTATCTATCATATGTAGATAACATTGCTCAGGTGGTGCTATCAATTAAACTGCTTCTCTTAGCAGAACTACCATTTTGCTTTGTCTATGGCTACTAACTACTTGGAAGTTGGAAATGCTTCTATAATTAGTATTTAATAGGGTCATTTTAACAGATGATATTTTTTGAGAGACCTTGCTATTAACTTGAACTGATGGCAGTGCCTTTACCATGCAGCAGGAACTGTAACATGGTATGTAAGTGGTGACTCTGTAAAGAGTGCCGAAGACGAACACTTAATCACTATACACAGTTCAGATTATTACGTGCAATGAGATTTTTTCTTTAAATCAATTTGGAAGAGCTTGTTTCCCCACCCCTGGCATTAAGAATTGCCAATTTGGATGGTCTCGAGTTTCCTCTTTTCTTTACAACCTTTCGGCATCAATACTGGTTTGGAAAGGTGATTTTTGCATATACCTCTTCTGGACAAGCTGTAATAACAAATCCCGGAATCCACATTCAATTTTTTATCATTCCCAGCTTTGAATATCAACGTTTGTCGATACGAAGTTCAGCATATGGGGTGAGTATTACAGTGCAGAAGTATCAACAACAATGTAGAGAAATAATCTCACAGCAGGTTCAAAGGTAGATAGATCTTAATATTTGTACATATATCAATCTTTGTGAATATCAAGTTGAGTTGATTCTTTTCTAAATTCATTGTTTCATTTCATATTTAGTGAAATTTTGTCGTGCTTGATTTTCCCCAAAAAAAAAAAATTGGGATATGTTTTGTTTGTTATTTTGAAACAGTTTTGAGTTTTCTCATGAAATTTATTTGGTTCAACTTTCCTCCATGAAGAATTTCTTGCTTTTGGGAAATACTAGTTATGAATAAAAATTCCCTTTAAATGTATTTTAAAATTAAAGAAAAAAACAAATCTAGATAGGTTAAGATTGGATTCGAGAATCAGCTTGAGCTCTAAGCTGTTGAAAGCAAAGATTTCTACGATAGCATTACAAAGCTGAGGTGGCCATGCTTGTCATTTAGCTTAAATTATTTTTATTTAAATAGGGCTAATCACAAAATCCCCTTATGATTATTGAAATAACAGAAATCTCCTTATAGTTAAATTTGTTAGTGTTAAAAACTTAAAATAAAACATTAGAGAGGCAATTACATAAATATTTATTAATCTACTCAGTTATAAAATCTGACTGTTAATTATCTTTAAATGACTGAATGGTTTAATAGAGATTTTTGGGTGTATTAATCAAGAGATTTTGAGTTTTAGTTTTCTCTTAGTTGTTAATAGAGATAGTCGTTTGAGTTTTTATTAGATTGATAGTTTTAAGATCTTGAAAAATTAATTGATCTGAACACTCTTAGTCCTTAGAAGAAAAATCTAACGGTTCATTAATTATAAGAAAATTTTTGTTATTTATAAAATTTTGGAGAGACGTTTGGGTTTTATCAAAACCCCGGGGGGGAAAGAGAAATTTGTATTATTAATATTTAAGAAGCATCGGTTGATATCGGTGGATGGTGGATCCACCACGCAGCTGGTCATTGACCACGACAATTGGGATTTCTGAACGCTCCACGTAAGCAACCAAACACTACAGCGTTAAGTTTCCTTCTACTTTTATGTTTTATTCGGGTTAAAAAGTTAAATAAATCAATTATTAAAAAATTGTCTATTATTTTTCCTTTAGTATTTTATAAAAATATCCTCTAGTTAATAATTCCCGACTTTACTCTAAAAGGCTTTATTCTTTTAATTATTATTATTATCTTTTTCTAAAGATTTTATTTAATTATTTAAGATTTATACATACAGATTATCTAATTGATGATGTATTTATTCTTTAATAAACACATGAATACTGTATTTGAAATACAAAAATTGTTTATCTTTTTAATGGTTATTTAATATTTATAAGATTATTTAATTTGAAACACATTCAAACTTTTTCTAGAATTATTTGCAATAAATAAAATTATTTTAAAATTAGAAATTTTTTAATAATTATAAAAGGTTTTAGCATACTTTAAATTAAATAATCCTTTTAAAATTGTAAATATAAAATTAGATAAGTCTCTAATTAATTAACTTTTGTAACTTTCCTAATCCTACTTCAGGTGGAATGAAATATATTTCATTCAAATCAAGGCCGTCCACTCAATCAAGTCGAAAACATTCCTTAACATCACGGAATGTCCTACTCTCATCCTGAACCGTCCGATCGTATTCTATATTATCTGACCCTTTATATAAACCTCACCCCACCATGCTTTGGCTTCTAACCAACGCAAATCAAAGCAAAGCAAAGCAGGCAAATTCAGAGACGCAGAAGGAAACATCAGCAGCTATGGCGGCAACCTTGTCTTCTCCGTGGGCCAAGCCTGGCGCGTGGGCTCTGGACGCTGAGGAACACGAAGCTGAACTTCAGCAGCAGAAAGAAGAGCAAGATAGCAATAACGAAATCGCCGATTTCCCATCCCTAGCCACCGCCGCTGCCACCAAAACCAAGAAGAAAAAGGGCCAGACTCTCTCCTTAGCCGAGTTTAACTCCGTTAGCCAGCCGACACAGCCGAGCCGATCACAGGGCCTTACTCATGAAGATCTCCTTGCCCTCCCCACCGGTCCCCGTCAGCGCTCCGCCGAAGAACTCGACCGCTCTCGTCTCGGCGGCGGCTTCAAAAACTACGGCTCCAATAATAGATATAATAACAGTTCTTTTGGTTCCAATAACAGTGAAGATTCGTCCGGCTCCCGTTGGGGCTCTTCTAGGGTTTCTAATAGGGATTCGAATAGAGAATCTCAGTCGTCACGTGCCGACGAGATCGATAATTGGGCTGCCGCGAAGAAGTCTGCGCCCGCCCCGAGGAGTGGGGGGTTCTTTGATTCGCAGTCATCCAAGGCTGATGAAAGTGACAGCTGGGTTTCGAACAAGACTGAAACTCGGAGTCGATTCGGTTTCAACAGTGGTGGCGAGAGGAAGAGTAGTTTCGATTCGTTGTCGAGAGATAGAGATAGAGATAATTGGGGGAAGAAAAGAGAGGAGAGTAGTGAGAGTGAGAGGCCAAGGCCTAGGCTGGTTTTGCAGCCACGCACTATGCCTGTGAGTGACGGGGGTGCGAATGTAGTGAAACCTAAGGGGGTGAATCCGTTTGGAGAGGCGAGGCCGAGAGAGCAGGTGTTGGCGGAGAAAGGGATGGATCCGAAGGAGATTGAGGAGAAGCTTGAGGCGGTGAAGATTAAAGAGGAGAAGGCTGATACGCCCTCGTTTGGGAGGAGAGGATTCGGTAATGGGCGTGGTGGGTTTAATGAGAGCAGGAGTTGGAGGAAGAATGACTCCGACTCTGTTGATTCAACCATACAAAGGTTCGTTTCTTGTGACAACTTTAATCTCAAAATTTAAACTTTTTTATGACAATTATGATCCTTATAAGAATGGCTAATGTTGATGTTATGATGATTGTCTTTACACAACCCATTGTGATAAATGTTTTTTACTTGGAATGCTATGGTTTTGTGGAATTTTAGAGTTTGGTGAAGTTTACTTGAGGATTACTATACTTTATAACTGGTTTGGATGTGGCGTTTGGAAAAACTTATTACTAAGTTGGTGTTGTCAATGTTTATAACAACTCTTTAGGTCTTTAAATTGATCTATAATAATTTCTTCTTCTCTATAATTTATTTGTAGTAACTGCAATGGCTTGGCATCAGATTAGGGCCTGTGCAACTTTGAAAGTTTTTTTATTGTGGTGTTTTGCTCAATGCAATGACATGATTGTGTGGCACATCCAGTTTTCTGTTACTACTATTGCAAATGAATTTATTCTTATTTGCACATGCAAACAAAAATCCAATTCCCCTGTTTGGTTTCTGCATAATGTACAATATTAAGTTCTTAAGATTAAATTACTTGTCTATGGGCCTTTATCAATGATAATAAAAAGCCATTGAGTCCTACGTATAGGCAAGAATATTTACCACCTTTTCTGTTGAGAGTTACACATGATAGTCTTACTAGAAACGAAACATCAGAACTAAGCCTCTATTAAAATTTAAATTGCTTTCAGTACATGAAAGTACACCCAAAGACTTTAGTTCATTAAAACTTTCTTTTCTTAATCACAAGTATATCAGCTTCATACCGACCTTGATCTTAGAACATGGAACATGATCAAATGGTTGGTTGTGGACTAGGTTTGTGTTGCTGAAGAGGAAGAGACTTGGAGTGTAATGTAAACCTTCTAGCATTAATTCAATAGAAAAGGTGTTCCTGTTTGATATTCAATTTTGGTTGAGGCAGATTTTGTGTTGACAATATGTGCTTGTTGGTAATTTTTATTAATATTTTTTGGTGGTTTGCACCCTAATTTGAGGTCAGTTTATGCATTTATGTATAATGTGTTGGTGTTTATTATGTGTTTGATACTACCTAATGACCTGCTAAACTCTTATCTAATCTAATATTTGTTTTCTTTTGGGTCCAGTGCTGAGGAAACTGAGAATGGACATTCTGAAGTAGAAGTTGAGAATGGGCATACTGAGGAGAAACATGACAATGGACATGTTGATGAGAATTGAGTATAGAGATTGACAAATGTGAGGGAAGGAAATATTGAACTTAATAGAAGCCTAATGTGTTGAATTCGTCGACTGTTAATCAACTTGTTTGTTTCCATAACTTTTACTACAGTGGGATGCCGTAATTAGACAATTTTGGTAGGCTAGTTTGGCCAATTCGGCTTGTTTTGTAGTAGTGTTCCGTTTTAGAATTATCCATGTTGTTACTGTTATGATATTAAATTTTATTGAACTCTGTTTTCCCTTTTGTTTTGGGTGACTCGGTACATTATTAATTGGGTTCACGAGATGGTGGATCTTTGATTGTTTTGAAATGGTGATCCAATAAATCAAGAAAAGATGATTTGTGTGTGGAATTTCACCTTCCATTTGTTGCTCTTCCTAATTTTCTGTTTGCATTATGTGACATTTCCTTGCTTGGAGCATCTTGCAGAATTGTACTTGTAGCCTAGTCCTTGAACCTGAAAGAAAGGTTGTAGAAAATCTCATTTTGGGTGTGTAAAGATTTAGTGGGTTTGAAATTATACAATGCAAAGGTCAATTTTGTATGATGATTCCAATTATAAATAATGTGGGGTTGCTTGCCTGGTCGATTATTTATCAACAGGCTTTTGTCTCTAATCTGTGGCTTGCATGTCCAGGTTTTGAGGAGCATCATCTTTTCTCTCTGCTCATAATTTGGAACTTACAACTACTACTTGTTATTATAATGTACAGATTGCCGCTGCAAATCTGAGATGACGAATGAGCTGGAATTCAACCTTTTACTAGCACTAAATTATTTCAAAAACTAATCAACCAAACGCAGCCACCATTAACATATAATTACAATTTGAGTCTTTTTGCAGATTTAAAATTTAAGAAATGCAAATGCCAATATGTTCCAAGATTTCTGAAAGAGGAACTTCCATTAACACCAAATCGAACTTTTGGCTGCAAGGAAGACATTTCAGATGAACTTTCAAGATGCCCATCAGTTTTTTTATGCAAAATTTCGATATATGCAGGTTTGTGGGAATGGGAATGGGAATGGGAGTTGGAAAAATTACTTCAATATAACAATCATATTATATAATTAAGTGTTAGGTGAGATGAACTATTTGTTACAGCATTAATTAATAAATAGAAAACAATCATAATACTAAAAAGAAATATGCGTGACAAAAGAAAGGGATTGAAATGATGGTTTTGGAAGCAAGCACAACATCTCACCATTAAAATCAAATCCCATCATTTAAAGTCAATCAATGCTCTTGGAAACTTTTACATCAACCAACACCCACCAACAGCTAAAAGTTCAAACACAGCGGTTTGAAAGCTTCCCACGTCTCAAGTTGATGAAACTCTGCTGTATGTGTGTGGGATGAAGTGTGGAATCAATAAAGAAGCCATTGCTAGCATTTAATTCTACAGGCAGTTTCTCTTTACTTTAACACGTTAAAGAGATTGGATCCAACATGACTGTATGGTCATGAATAATACAAACCAGCTTTCACATTACCACTTTCTAGAACACATTTCATTCATTTTTTAGAAGAAAAAAAATATCAAACATATAAAGTTTTGTACATATATATAATTAAATTGTCGTCTATATGATGAGTAATGTTAGGTCAGTTTATACACATTTGCGCTATCTCAACTAATCTTCAGGGTCTATTGAATATTCTATAAGGTCAATGTGTTATAAGATAAGTCACAAATGTAATAGATGACCTCAAGGTTATTCGAACCTAGAAATTCAATGAAGAGAGTAAACCTTCTTGATTGTCAGGCCAACCTGTGGAGTTTATATACAAAATTTATGTGTAACACTCTTTCAAACCGACTTGCCTTCCTCATCAATGGCCTTAATGGCCTTAATGCTTAGACTCTCAAATAATTACCAAAATTTAATGCCATTAATTCACTATATGACTTATTTTAAGAGGAAACATGCTACATCTTGCAAGAACTATTGGCAAAATGTATTGACATTCTTCTCTTCTTAATGAGCAAGTATAATTAGCAACAAGAATTAATAAATTTTTTTCTACCTACTTTGTATACAAAATCTTGGCAACAACTCATCTGTGACTAATTTCATCAGTCTTTAATGAAATGGCCGTACTGTTTCATGCTTCTTTTGGTTTTGAAATCAAATTTTCTACACTCATAAATGTTGACAGTTGAGAGTTGACACAGAAGGTTCACCACTACACCTTATTTATTTACTTCCTTCCTGACAAGTGCAACTGCGATCACAAAACAATAAACACTTTCTCTCTTTCTTTCTTGCTTTGCTTGGTTGGCCTCTTAAACAGCTCAAATTTAAGTTTCATGGATTGGTCAGGCAGCAGGTGCTTCCTCTTCACAGCCTTTCTCATTCTTGCAGCTGCCATTGATGCAACTCTAGCAGATACCACAGTCTCTGGCACTGTCTTCTGTGACCAATGCAAAGATGGCCAATTGTCCCTCTTTGATTATCCTGTTTCTGGTGAGTGAGATCCATTACCATTACCATTAAACTAATATCCAATGCTCTAGTTGATTCACAGTGCCTTCTTGATTTTCTTTACTATAATCCCTTGACATATTTTTGAAAAACATTGGTGATTGTTTCATATCATTGTGTGTTCTCTTCATATTTCTCAACATTAAACGGCCAAATGATAAAAGGGTATCCACTTAAAAATGTTTTTAGCACTTATATTAATGTATTTATGAACTTGATTTAGTGCTGTAAATAATGTTGAAATAATTGACTCGTTCTTTTTAGTTGAAAAAAAAAAAAAAGTTCCTGTCAAAGATAGATTTGTTTACTAGTCGAAGTCTCGGAGAAGATTTCCTATTTTTTGTAGAGATTGTTTTAACATGTGAACATTATAGGACCATATAGCTTGATCATTGTTTACTTTTCGTTAATTAAGCCTGTAAAATCAGATAAGTTTAGCAGCTTTTTAATCTCTTGCAGGAATTAAAGTTAAGGTCACTTGCGCTGATAGTAATGGGCAGATTACAACGTCAAGAGAAGAGACAACAAATTGGCTTGGCAATTATGCAGTGAAATTTGATGGCACCCCAAACTTGGGTAATTGTTTTGCTCAGGTTTCTGGCAGTGACCAAGAATCTACAGCTTGTGGTGCAGCTGCTGGTCCTGCCCAAAATCTTAGACTCATGTTCAGGATGTTTGGTATGGAGTTGTATGCTGTGGATTCCTTGCTCACTCAGCCTGCTCACCCAATGTCATTCTGCTCGAGGTCATCAAACCCGAACCCTGTATCTCCACCGGTCACACCTGTGAATAGGCCTCCTTCTTCAAGGTCCCCTCCAACTTTCAACCTTCCACCATTGCCTCCATTGCCTCCAACGCCCTTCACTGAGGCATCAGCATGTCCCCACCAGTAAGTTTTACTCTTTAAGGCTCATTTTTTTGGGGATTTATCGCATATCAATTAGCTAAGCTCACAGGTAGAGACTTACAGGTATGGCCTGGCGTATCTGTATGTATTTGTGTGAGCATATTACCGTGTATATTAGACTTACAAGTGTAAGATTTTCTACTCACTCGCGCAAGATTACACGAGAAATGGACCCACATATTGGATCTTTTAGGGTTCGTTTGTTTTGTTATTTTGGATAAGATTTTGGGAATAATATTGGGTAGTTAAATAGGGTGAGTATTGCGAGGTAAAATTTAAAAACTAAAAAAAAAAACCCGTAGGTTTGTTAATTTAACTAAACTCCTCAATATATAAATTTTTATAAAATAACAAAAACACCCCCACCCACCCACAGTGTCAGATTCCGGCCACCACCATCGGAATCTAGCCGGAAAATGGCGTTACGACTCAAACTGGTCGGATCTAGCGAGTAGGGTGTCGATATGGCATTTTCTGACCAGATCCGTCTTTTCTAGATCTACGGCTAGATCTGGCCGTCGACGGTCGCAAAAGTCCAGATCTGGCCGTCAATGACAGCCAAAGATATGGCTATCATTGTCAGTCAACGATGGTCAAGATTTGGTTGTTGTTGACCGTCAATGACGGCCATTTCTTTGGCTGTCGCTGACGGCCAAATCAATGAATTACCAGCCAGTTTCGATCGTTTGTAGGCCATTGTGACATATTTCGGCTAATACCGACGGTGGTTGCCGGAATCTAGCAACTATGGGTGGGTGGGGGTGTTTTTGTTAATTTTTCAACTTTTTTCTGGGGTTATTTAGTGAAATTAATAAACTTAAGGAGTCTAAAAGTAATTGAAAAAATATACTATATATTTCCTAAATAATTAAACAAACAAATATTTTAGGAATAGGATTGAGAATATGGATAGGAACACTAAAACAAACACACCCTTAAATGTTACTAACTAGATAAAGTGATTTTTTTTTTTTTTTTTTTATATTTTATGATCGAGGTATATATGTCAGCTTACGAGTACCTCAACTAATCCTTTAGGACCCTAGAATTATCGGCCGGATAAATACTCTAACGGCTACTCTTATTAGCATTTGAGAAGGGACTCAAACTCAGGACCTCCTGAGTAATAGAGTTTCTCTCAAACCATTCAGCCATCTAGAGCTACTTTAGATAAAGTGACTGCACATGGGATTCGTAAATTGAATAAAGTGAAAGCCTAAATTAACATCTTAGAACTAGAGTTTCACAAGGAACTTGTATAAACATCTTCTAGAAGGCAGCTTTTTAGTTGGATGGTCGGTTGTGTTTTATGTGTCCTCCATAATTACAGATTAATTAATGAGGCATGGCTAATGGCTTGAAAGATGATTTACCCATTACTTGTTTTTATGGTTTAAATAATTTTATGATCAGGAACTGGACAAAGCCAGAGTACAAATGTTACTGGAGAGGGCTGCGCCCTGATGCCAAAGTAGCTCTCGTTTTCGGACCAGCGGCAGCTCGGCGATACGGGACAAACATGACATTGTGGGAAGGACTGCAAGGGAGGGGAGATCCCTACAGGACTCTCTTAAGAGAAGCAACAACTGCACTTTTAAACTCACATAACAGTCTTGAATTCCCTTATAATACAGTTGGTGTTGTGACTCATACGAATCGGGCATTGAGGGGATCTTCCAGGAGTGTTCTCCTTACAGCTTTCAGGTTCCTGAAGGCTAATTCAGGCTCTACTGGCAAAGTCTCTTGCAAACTCACGCCTTGCAAGTGATGGGCATTTATCAGTAGTTGTTTTCTTTATATTATATATTCACCTTCTTAGGATTAATCCTATAGATTCTCCTATATTGCAAATTTAGATTATTTGTGTGTGTTATTTTTAGCTATTGATATATGTTTGTACCCAATAGATTATGTGTTGTTGATTCATTATCAGAACATTTACGAGAATAACCTCTTTTTTGGGTTTAAACTTGCGATTATGGTTTTAAAACCCCGTCCATTGAATGGTTAAAACCCGTTTTAGTCATTAGACCGGATTGGCTTAGGGTTGAACCGAAGGGAATAGTGTCGAACCGCGGTTCAACTGTCGGGTCAGAGAATGAGTTGAAGTGAAACACACATTCCAAGAGAATAAACAATCGTTCGTCTGTCCTACAAATCGTTCCAGACAACAGTTAATCTTAACGGACCCATTCCCTAAATCTGACTAAATAGAGAAATTATAAAATTTTATTACGTCATGATAATGTAAGAATAACATCACCAGTTCCACCCGATGGTCGAACAGTTCGACCAAGGCAAGGTCAAGGCAAGATCCGGGTATAAAAACATTGCTTGTGATATATTATTGACCCATAATTTACTTACCTCGAATTATCAATGTTTTTTGATGTACCTATTTTTTCATTTTTAGTGGGTGATTTAATCTATAGAGATTAAAAATATAAATAATAATACACATACAAAATTTCTCGAAAAACATGATGTAATAAAAGATGATCGGATGAAAGTTTATTTTAGTGTCACAGTGTTTGATTTGTGAGGTTAACCCAATCTCGAATTAATTAATCACCTGTTATCATGCAACATGTGTAGTAATTCCTAGTCCTACGTACCCATGTCTAAAATTTAACTACAATTAGTTGATTTGTGAGGCTAATCCAATTCCAGTGTATGTATAATCAATTGCCCCATTGACATGTAAGTTAAAATATCTAATTCCTACACAGGTCCAAAATCTGAACGACTAATTGATTGAGTTAACGACTTTTTCCCACTGAAATAACGGTTTAATGACGCTTTTCCACTCATATACTTTTAAAATACCACTTTACTATCCAAATTTATATTTCGACGACAAACAAAGAGCAAACTTGATCCAGACTTTTGGGGCTTTTGAAGAGGGTAGGCAAATGAGTCTTTTGGTGGCTGGGATTGATTGAAATTTTACTTGGGAGGAGCGGCTCCGCAAACCCTAATCGTTCAATTGTCGACGATTGGCAAAGTCGGCGGGAGTAGGGTTTGAGGGGTTTTGGTGAGTGATGATTCAGTGGTGATGTGGGGTCAGAACGATACCAAAATAAAAAATAGAATATAAATTTGAATAATAAAGTAATATTATAAAAGTCTGTAGGTGAAAAAGTGTTATTAAGCTATTTTTTGGGTGAGAAAAAGTGGTTTACTCCTAATTGATTTGCGAGGTTGATCTAATGTAGAACTAATTGCCTATTCACATCTAAATAATTAATTAATTAATGCCGTAAAGTTTGATTTGTTAGGTTAACCTAATCTAAGAGTTAATTGTTGTATATTGACATGTAACATGTCTAATTCCTACCAAATAATCTAGTCCAATCTACTCTTTTGTGATTTTTGTTAAAATATATACTCGAGTGGTGCATGCACGATGAATGATTTCAAAACAGACTCTCCAATCGTTAGACAGAGAAAATCACCAAGATTTCTTAATCTTTTGTCGAACTTATTGCAATTCAAAGATCTCGGATCGAACTGATATATCAATATCTATTCGATTTGAGATCTCTTATTGAATTGCTCGTTCAATGAGCATTCTCAATATTAAAAGAGTCAGTATATTAAGTATTATCCAAAATTTAAATGATATTATTCTCCCTCCTCAATAATTTAATTCTTGTTTCTCCGCCACTAATATACCCAGTTCATGCAAAACATTCTAAGGAAACAAACAGTCTTGCAATTAATGGACACAAAACTAAAGAAGTGTGGATCGATCAAATCGTGAAAAACATGTCCGGTAGATGCCAAATTATTCACTCTTTTTCCAAAAAGCATTTTGAAATCTAGTAGCCAAGAGATCAATTATATCAAGTTTCGCCTCATCAGTGATCACCTCTCAAATGTCTTTGGCCTGCCTGATGAGATGAGGATACAGAAATGCCCTAAATACAGACCACCATTTAAGCAAAAAACAGTTAATTAACGAATATATATTCAAATTTGGTCCATCTATGAATGCCATGTTCGTATATACAATCATATATGAATCACATGTATATATATCTATCTGTATGTTTCATATGATATCGTATATATAATTAACTGTTTAGGGTTTAGGGTTAAGAATTCAAGCAAATTCCTCGTTCAGTCTTGTTTTGGGCTCTGTCAGCATGCATCATTACCATTTCAACTTCATAATACTCACTACTTGTCCGCCGAGAAGGAGACTGTTCTCCATTTTTTCCTGCATGACACCCCAGGTGGCGATAACCCTAGCGCTGTCAAAGCAGTCCACCCTAATAATGGGACAACCAATGCCACTTCCCTTACGCCATTTGGCACTGACTGGGTCGTTGATGATCCTCTGACAGTGGGGCTGGATCCAACATCTAGGGTTATTGGGAATTGTAGAGGTGTGTATGTATGATCAGCAGGTAAAAATGAGTTGACGCTGCTGGCTTATCTTGATTTCGGGTTCACTAGTGGCGAGTTTAATGGCAGCTCGATATGTGTGTTTTCGAGGAACCCGGTGACTGAGATTTGAACGTGAGTTTGCTGTGGTGGGTGGAAGAGGAAATTTCAGAATGGCCAGAGGTTTTTGCTGAGCTTAAATGCATATTTTATAATGAGAAAAATGGTGATTCGATTGTGGAGTACACAGTAGTAATTAAGTTGAGCTCTTCTTTCCAACAATTGTCTCAACTTACCAACTTACATTAGATGACTAGATGAGAGGTGAATTTGATATAAGACAATCTTTGATGTCCTTTAAGAACATGAAACAGTTATGCTTTTTTCCATGATTTTTTTTCATATTTTCAACTCTAATCTTTCTTCAATTACTACAAGAAAAATAGCTTTCGGCGTCTAGTAAAATTAGACACCAAAAGTAAAATTTAGAGGCTAAATTTCTTGCGCGTCTAAATTTCGTAGTCGTCACGTAGTTATAAAATCGTTGTCGTAGAAAGTATGAGCGTCTAAATTGTTGGTTAGACGCAGCAAGTTTTTTTTTGGTGACTAGCAAATTAGTCGCTAATTGCTGGTTGAAATAGTCCCTCCGCTTAGACGCTAATTGTTCAAGGGTAAATTATTAAAGTGGTATCATGACTAATCAATTAATTGCAAAATGTACCTATTAGTGTCTAACAATTTGTCGCGAATGCCACAAAAATTAGACGCTGAAGGTGTAAGAGAAATTTTGTAAAAGGTTTTCACAACTATTTTATTAGTGGACGAATGTATCTTTTAGTGACCAAAATTTGGTGGTTAATTCTCATACTTTTAGATGCTGAATGTGGAATCCAAAAGGTTTTCGCAACTATTTTATTAGTAGACGAATGTATCTTTTGGTGACCAAAATTTGGTGGTTAATTCTAATAATTTTAGACGCTGAATGTGAAATCCAAAAAGTTTTCGCGACTATTTTATTATTGGACGAATGTATCTTTTGGTGACTAAAAATTAGTGGTTAATTCTAATAATTTTAGACGTTGAATGTAGAATCCAAAAGGTTTTCACAACTATTTTATTAGTGGACAAATGTATCTTTTGGTGACCAAAATTTAGTGGTTAATTCTAATAAATTTTAGACGCTGAATGTGGAACCAATTATGATAAATTACTTTTTGCTATTAAAAAATTAGTTACAAAATGTATTAATACTCTCAGTTTGCTTCTAATTCATATTTAGTTTGCTTTTATGGTCTTAAACAAATGGGAAATATTTTGAGTGGAAGGAGAGTGAAAAGCATACGTTCAAATTTATTTTGAGAGATCTAATGATTTTTTCTATTATTAAATTTTTTTACAAATTTTATATACATGAATATCCATAGATTGAAGGAAGCATAAAGATGTCAGATGTCTATGCTTTGGGAGGTACTGTACATGACCTTAAGATTATACTTACCTAATGGACTCTGTCTATCTTACTGCAAAAAATGAAACCAACTTTAATTGACATTTAGTATAAAACCATTTTAAACTCTCTTCTCTCTTTGATTCCTTTTAGTTGTCAGTTCCATATATTTAGAATTGGGAAAACGACAGTTGCCCACCCAAGGTTTTGGCGAAACGACATTTTCCTATCATTCGTTAGATTCTGTTAATACTTTCTATTAATATTTAACTGAAAAAACGAAAATACCCTTAATTAGTTTATTATAAATTAAAATTTAGTTAAGTCAAAGTTTTACTCGATAATGTAAAAATATATTTTTACCCTTGTTTATTTAATTAATTAGGAATATTGATTTTCTATGTTAATTAGTAAAAATAAAAAACATTATAAATCTAGTAGATTATTGAATAATAATGGTGAGATGTGAATGAAATTATAAATAAATAATTAAATAAATATTAAGGTCATTTAACTTTAAGTAATTCGATAGCATTACTCCTAATTTTTTAGGTGAGGTTAACTATTTTTTCTTTTTTGACTTTTTAATATTTTACTTTTTGGTTAATTAAAAAATAATAAAAAATTTATAAAATCAAATATGTAAGGGTATTTTTGTTTTTCAGCAAAATAATAACGGAAAACATAACATAACCTAACGAAAGGTGGGAAAGTGTCATTTTGAAACTTGAAGGGTGCGAATGGGTGGTTTCGCCAAACCTTGGGTTGGAAAATGTTATTCTCCCTTTAGAATTTCACTTTCGCCTTACTTTACTTTAGATAGACACTTATATCTTTATATTTGTTTTTCAAATGTCCATTTTCATTTATTTTGTAGTTATAATTTTATGATAATTATATTTTTTTTAGGTATCTTAGGTATCAAGACTCACATTGGAGTTTGTCTAATCTTCAGAGCCGCGGAACACCCTACAAACCTAATAGACCAAGGTAATTACACAAATGTGATAAGTACCTCTCTAACTCTCCTACGACTTGAGCACAAGACCCTTTGAGTATAGCTAATTGTAGACGTAAAAATCTACCTATACGGAAGGGGGGTCTGATCCCGTGAGGTTGAGGCCACTAACGATCCGCTGCACCTGCACACATAGAGAAACAAACGCGTGAAGCGAAAGGGAAACACCGGGGTGGTGTTTGCCGTAGGCACTCCGACGCCCAAGTCAGCAAAGCTAAAAGAGGCTAGTATAGTGAGGGCTAGGGAGTAGAGAGGTTACCAGAAGTCTAGTCGGAGACTATGACTACGGCAGTGATGTGAAGCTCTCAAGTAGAAGCTTTGGGTGTGAAGGTATAGTGTAATATGTCCTTTGTGAGAGGGCTGGCCTCTGTTTATATAGTGACTGTTTGGTCTCCCAATCCTGGTAGGAGTAGGAGTCCTTATGTGAGTCTGATGCAAACCCTAGAGGAATTAGGGCGGTGGTGAGTTGTCTTACCAGTGTTCGAATAGGAATGTGATCCCGAATAGGAAAGTAACCTCGAGTAGGAAAGTGACCTGAACAGGAAGGTGACCTCGAATAGGAGACTGATCTGGAATAGGAAAGTGATTTGTGGGTGTCGTGGGCTCTGGACTTGCTCATAGGTCCAGGAAGTGAACTGGCATTTGGAGGCTTGGACCCGATGGTTTGAGCTGACTGTATCTCGTATCAAATGGGCCTAATCCGGATGGGGCCGCATCAGGATTGGGCCTGGTCTCTTCCTCATTCAGTCTCGTTCTCCTATTTGGGCCAATGACGATTTTTAGCCCTAACACTAATCTAAAAGGGTTGCCATTCGGCTACAAGGGGAGAGATATAATTATCCTTTCTTTGTCTATTTTTTTTAATCTCTAGTGTTTTGACATACTGTATAAGTTGGTCATGTAACCTTAGAAACTCATCTCTTTTGCATCTTTATATTTGTCGTATCACATTATGCACTACACAAAAACATTCTCATACAAGCACTCTAGTTTACTTATGTATGCTTGAAAATAGTTGAAATCTTCACGATTGATTAGCTATGCTTTTCAGAACACTTGTTTCCATTAGCAATTTGTATTTTAACACTTTCTCCTGTGATATCTGAATTTGGTTTACTGTTTTGTTTCATCAGTTTGATGTTTTATGGATGCTATTCTTATTTTGTCAGGTAATTGTTTGTATTAACTTGTTGCAAAAGTGAGGTTTTGTCTTGATATCTTCCACCTCCTATAACTTCTGTCTAACCTCACATAATATGTTAGCTAAAGTTTTTGTGATATTTAACGTTTCTTATTATGAAGCAAATTTAATTGGATGTCAGAGTTTTCTCTAGGGCAAAAGTACGAACGTGATAGAATTTGAGGTGGGTCTAACTCCTTACCCAATAAGACCTTGTTGAATGGGAGGATTACCCCCTCTTATAAACTAGTAGGTTTGAGCGTGCCTAGTCGGTGTGGGACTCCAACACTCCCTCTCACGATCAAGCCCATATGCTAGGTCATGCCTGTTATTGGAGGTAGTTGTCGGCTCTAACTTTCCACCCGCTGGTCAAGCACTCAGCTTGACTAAACTCGGCTCTAATACTATGATAGAATTTGAGGTGGGTCTGACTCCTCACCCAATAAGGCCTTGTTGAATGGGAGGATTACCTCCTCTTATAAATCAGTAGGCTTGAGCGTATCTAGTCGGTGTGGGACTCCAAAAGAACTTATCGCTTTCCTTTCAAAGATCGAGTAAGCAACTTATATTATATTGGAGCTGATAATATTGGATCAAGAGTGCTTCTTTAATTTCATAACACCATGTAATAGTTTTTTTCGATGAGAAATTCATCCGAATGCATTTCTTTTAACATATAATTCCTATCTTTATGGATCATCTAGTTCCCATGAATATTGATTTGATTCCCTGAGATGATACCTTATGACATTATACCGACGGAATTGTGTATGCTTGCTCAAATGTTCAACCAATGAAACAAATTTTGCTCGATTGTCCTTTACATGTACATGTTTGAAGTAGTAGGTTGAGAATTAAGTTTCATGTTTTCCTCATTATTAAAGTGCATCACAAGATTATCATTAGCATCATCAGGTCATCTAAAAGGCTCAAAATCACCACAAGGTTTTTACTTAATTTTTCACTTATGAGAATTTAGAACCTTTGCATTCAATAAAACTACACTTACAGTTTTTTTGTACAACTTTAGAATGACAGCTCACTATTGGTTAGTTTATATTTGGGTAGATAAGATACATTACGAGTTGACCAATTGCGAACTGTCACATCAGGGTTGTATGAAAAAGTTGTAAGTATAATGCTGCTCATTCACATTATAATAAATCTTTCCAAATGATATGACATACAACGAATGCAAAAGGAAAAACCTGGATTGGATACTTTACCAAAGTATAAAAGGATGAAAAAGTTGAACTACTAAATTTTTAAAAACTGAAAAAAAAAAAAAAAAAAATATTGGAATGCACTGCACTGTATTGGATTGTACTAGACTTATTGCTCTGGCCTGGAGTCTATTAATTCTTTTAGGTCCCTTTGCTCATCCCTTAAAACCGTGAGTCTGTTCATTCCTGGGTTGTTTTGATCTGCAAGCTATTGCTCTGAAATCATTGATGGCACATAGAGGAAACTAACTGAGATGAAAGTGAAGTTAGCTTATTGGGCAGAAAATCCAGCTTAAACATCTTATTTACAATTAAAAGTCCTTCATGTACATCTATGAAGGGTATCCAATTACTGTTACTGTATATCACATACGTTCTTTTTATTTTGTTTTGTTCTTATTGAGACAAACTAATGGGCACTAAAACGCAATGAATAAATTTGACTCTTTTTTTTTTATAGCGATGTGTCATCACATTGATACTGGGGATTAGATTTGGATAACAGTAACGAAATGATGGATTCCGATTAATAGACAGTGAAGTGAAGGCAGCAAGCATTGTTAAAGTTATAAAAACTTTCAAGAGATGGGTTCAGGAAGTTGATAATGGAGAATCAGATAGATGCATTGATGACTCCTGTATAGACTGTAGATATTGTTCATGTTCTAGCAATTGGAGGTTTCCCTGGAATTAGTGTCCCAGCTAGATATAATAGTATCGGTGAGCCTTTTGGCATTTACTTTGGGAGATTAAAGGGCACAGAGGCCGAAGCTAAAAGAGATGGCGTATGGCTTTGAGCACGCTACCAGAATTATGAAGCCTCATTCATTCAACCTCTTGAATCTTAATTACTAAATAAGTTGTAAGCATTTCCCATGTATCATCTGAATCTTCCCTGCAATAAGAAGTCAAATTTTTTCTGGGTAATCTCCTTCTGTGAAGAAAAGCAGAGACCGAAATTTAGGAATTTGGATTCTCTATTAGATGGTGAAGACAAAACTTAATAGCCAAAATTATGGTTTTGAAAGAATTTAAAATTGAAGATTATTTTTTTAATATTTTTTGAGTTATGAGAATTCAAAGGAGTTTTGATTAAAATAATACACTTGCGCCGAGGTATGAACATAATCTACGGCAAACAAACTCAAACTCGTCATTGACCAAAGGAGAGCAAACAAAGAGAATCAGCAATGGCTATCAATGGACAAACTTCAACTTGGTTCTTGATCTTCACCGCAATATTATTCAACCCAATCAACGGCCACGAATTCCCCTTCACAGAAACAACAATACAGGAGATTCAATCGGCCTTTGCTAAAAAGAAGCTGACATCAAGACAACTGGTGGACTTATACATGACCCAGATCGAAACCTTAAATCCTCAACTTCGCAGCGTGTTAGAAGTGAACCCAGATGCGAGAAGCCAAGCAGAAAAGGCTGACGTGGAGAGGGAGAGAAACGAGGGTTGTAGATTCTTAGGAGAGCTACACGGTGTTCCAGTGTTGTTAAAAGACACAATTGCCACCAAGGACAAGTTGAATACCACCGCTGGGTCTTTCGCGTTGGTGGGGTCTGTGGTGCCGCGTGATGCCACCGTTGTGGAGAGGTTGAGAAATGCCGGGGCTGTTATTTTGGGAAAGACTAGTCTCACTGAGTGGTACAGCTTTCGGTCTTTAGGCAAAGTTCCTAATGGGTGGTGTGCTAGAGGGGGACAAGCCCAGGTCAGCTCTCTTCTGTTTATATGATTTAATGAATGTTAGGTTTATATCCCAAATTTTGATGATAATAACCTTATTTTGGAGCTACATATAGATCACTTGATTATATGGTTCAAAATATATAATCATTTTGGATACAGAACTTGAGATGTATAGTGGTAGTATGTAGGAAATTATGCAGGGAACCATGTTAAGTTAGATGTAGACTGGAAAGTAAATTCATTTTTTGTTTTTTTTGGGTTAATTAATAGTTTTCTCAGTTTTCATATTACAAATGGTTAGGGCTTTGTGCAAGAGAAAGTCTTTCCAGTTCATCAATACACTCGGTTCGGAGACTTCAAGCAAATACCATGATGTAGCTTTTTGTGAATGATGATTAAGAATATGCAAATGATTGATTCTAAGTGTTATCTCTTTTTAATTCTTATAATTGTCTTAATTTATGTACTATATTACTTCCTTTATTTAGGACTGGTATTGAAAAATTTCTTTGACTTGAGAAGAATGCTCAGAGGAACTTAGGCCTATGAGTTGTGATTTGAGGATATACATTTGAGGTGTCAGTTTTTGCAACCCTCAAAATGTAGCGCGGGATTTTTTCAACATAAAAAAAACTATACATATTCCAACAGGTCATATCCCTAGAGAGTGTTTTGTACCTAAAATGGATGTGTTTAAGTCCAATAGCTGGTCTGACGACCTTGCAACGTGTGTCAAGTGTATAATTTCCTCTCCAACAGTAAATCAGAGAGTGCTTTTCTTGCAATAAATTGCCTTCAATTTGTAGGCTCCAGCATTTTTGAATCAGCCTGTCTATGTATTGATAATATGCAGAATCCTTACCTTCCATCTGGAAATCCATGTGGGTCAAGCAGTGGATCAGCTATTTCGGTTGCAACAAATATGGTTGTAGTTTCACTTGGGAGTGAAACTCATGGCTCCATCCTCTGTCCTTCTGATCATAACTCTGTAGTTGGATTTAAACCAACTGTTGGACTCACAAGCCGAGCTGGTGTCATCCCAGTTTTGCCCCACCTCGATACCATTGGGTAAGATTCTGTTTAAATGCTTGGAAGGCCCGTTAGACTTAATATGGTTCAAAAATTGACTACAATGTTTAAGCTTTCTATAGGAGTAAACTTAAGAGTTGCACTTTTATAATATACAGTTATATTCATTGTATATATGTTGATCTATAAATTTTTTAATTGTTAACTAATAATTTTTATCATGATGAATCTCAGACCCATAAGCAGGACTGTTTCTGATGCAGTTTATGTGCTTGACGTGATTGCCGGATTCGACCCAAGAGATTATGAAGCAACAAGCGAAGCAGCCAAGTACATTCCCATAGGAGGTTACAAGCAATTCCTCAACCAAGATGGGCTTAAAGGGAAGAGACTAGGGGTTGTCAGACATCCTTTTGTGAACTCTCTAAATGGATCCACCATCTTTATAGCTTTTGAGAGACATCTTAACACACTAAGGTATGAAAGATAAATAATACTTTGTTTGCTTTGCACATAAGTGAAAATGTTTTACTGCATTAACGGCAAGAAAAAAATTATATTATGCTTCTGTTTTGAAAATTTGTAGACAAAATGGTGCAACTATAGTAGACAATCTAGAAATAGCAGATGTTGATGTAATTGTAAACCCTGGTAGAAGTGGGGAGCTGACTGCAATGCTGGCTGGGTTCAAGATCTCTGTAAATGATTACCTGAAGGAGCTTATTTCATCTCCTGTGAGGTCACTTGCTGACATTATCACCTTTAACCAAAATAATGAAGATCTGGTAAGCATGTGATTCTCTAAAATGCTGTTTCTTCCAATAAAACCGAAGGAGCTCTTCACCAATATGATATATTTATCTCTGTCGTTTAATGTTGTATAAATGATTAGCAGTGGAAAATGGGCATATTTTCATTGTGAAAGAGAAAAAAGAGGTTTTTGTGGCATGGCTTTGAGTCATCTGACTTGATTGTGGAAAATACTGCATTTTCCTGAAAATTCTCATGTTCTCATTCTTAATTGTTCAATGTAGGAGAAGACTGAAGAGTACGGTCAGGCCACATTCATATCTTCAGAGAAGACTAGTGGGTACGGAGAAAAAGAGAGGAAGGCGTTTGAATTAATGGAGAAACTATCGCAGGATGGATTTGAGAAAATGATGGCAGAATATGAACTGGATGCAATGGTGACACCGGGTGTTGGTGCCATTCCTGTGCTGGCAATCGCTGGCTATCCAGGGATTACTGTCCCAGCAGGTTATGATAACAATGGGATGCCTTTTGGCATATGTTTCGGGGGATTAAAAGGTACCGAACCAAAGCTAATAGAAATAGCTTATGCGTTTGAGCAGGCTACTATGATAAGGAGGCCTCCTTTCTCCAAATCATATGGATTGACAAAAGATAATTTTGTTCAAAGTATATGATGGTTTTGATGTCATGTATTTTTCTGGAAGATATTGTTGTAACATATCCACAGATGCATGAAACTAAAATGGCAGTCTGGCAGTTGTAAAATTGTTGTGTCCATCGGAATAAATTGAATGAGAGAAAAAAATAATCCATTTTGTATATTCTAACATAGCATTGACTTTTAGACACTGAAATTAATACTAGTATTCGGTTCTGAAATGTCCCCTTGTTTAAAAGACATGAATGGAACATTCTCCAGATATGCACATCAGCGCATGCCCAAGCGCAAAGACAAGTCTTGTATGTTACAGCTTTCCCCGACTTGGGGTAATAACTTAAAAAGAATATGCATAATGTTTAAACCAGCAACCAATGAGAACAAAGTGATTGGCGATGAGCAGGTAAGGCTTTGCATTGTTTATTCTTCATAAAACAAGATCTGTCTGGTTTTCAGGTATGGTGACTCTACAGAAATCTTTATAACTTTTGCGTGTGTGAGGCAAGAGAGGATTTTTTTTGTCGACTGAGAGAAATTAGGGAGAACAAGTTAGTGTTCTCATTTTATTGTACTCTATGGATCTATATTGAAAACATTTTTTCATAATAGCACCATGGATCTAGCCACATTTGGGGTTAACCATATACAGTACATCATTTTGCCTCTTGTTAATTTATGTTACTTCTCATTGCTTGCCTGTTGTTTGTTTTGGGTTAATTTTCAACGCATTCATTTTATAACATCATCGTCCCTACAGTAAAACATAGGACAATGATCTATCACCATATTTAGTGTAGTGAAATCTGATCTAAGAATCAAGGTCGAAACTTTTCAATAAATTTTTCTTTTCTTCTATCTCAAGTATATGAAGCATGATCTATTCAAATTAACTTTTTAGCCAATGCATACTCCTTCCATTAACTGTAATATACTACGTATTTTGATATTATGATATATACTAATTAACAAAGGACTCTGTCCTTTTGGATTTACACAGGCCTATTTGCAGGACAGTAGCGGATGCTGTTTATGTTCTTGATGCCATTGTGGGCTTTGATCATAATGATGAAGGAACCAGAGAAGAATCAAGTACATCCCACGTAGTGGCTACAGACAATTTCTTAAGTCTTATGGACTCAAAGGGAAGAAATTGGGGATTATGAGGAATCTAAATTTTAATTACGCAAACAAATCTGATGTTATTACAGCTTTTGAGGACCATATCCTGACAATGAGGTAGCAACACAAAACCAAGTTTAACCAATTGTTAGTGGACTCATAATCATAATAACATATCATGACTTTTCTGTAATTGAAGACAACAGTATGCAGTTTTGGTGGACAATCTGAATATAGCCAACATTGATGTTATCTTGAATGGCACTGCAAGTGGGGAAACATTAGCATTCACGGCAGAGTTCAAACTCGCCTTTGAAACATACCTTAAAGGATTAGTGGCTTCCCCAGCAGATGTTATAGCATTCAACGAGAAATTCTCAAAATTGGTCAGTATATGAACCTAGATTGCTTCCATCTATATATTGTTGTGGATTTACTTGAAACGACGGTGAGGCTGTCAATGGCTATGCAGGAAATGAACACGGAATATGGCCAATCTGTTTTTCTAATGGCTCAAGCCACAGATGGAATTGACGATGAAGTGACAGCAGCATTGTTGAAATTAGAAATTTTTTCCAGAAATGGATTTGAGAAGCTCATGAGGGATAATGATGGGATCACCAGAAACCACACCAACTCAATGAAATATTGTTAATGAGATTCAATAAAACAGCTTTATACTAGAAACAACTGATATGTTTATATATTGATTTGGATTGACAAACACTGCAAACAGAAAATAAAATGACAGAGAAACGAAAAAGTTGGCTAGCACTTCGAGGGTCTAGCAGCCTCCCTTGATTCCAGATTTCATCCCCATTAGCTAACCACATGTTCTCTCTTAAATACAGCTGAAATCATACTTTCCACACTCCCTTACGTGGAGATTCTTCCTAACTAATTCTAAACCGCATTTCCTTTGCTGCCCCTGTCCAGTGAATTTCCCAGGCTGCCCTTTTTCTTCTTCTTGTATACTTTGGTTACAGGGGGCTTATCAATACCCCCCCTTCAAGATCCACCTTGTCCTCAAGGTGAAAAGCCGGAAACTGCAGTAGGATGGTGTCATAAGCCTCCCAAGAGGCTTCAAATGGTGGGAGGTCATGCCATTTAATCAGAACTTCCACGGAGCCATCCAGTAACTTGCGGGTGGAGAGGACTGCTTCAGGACTGACCTGTAATTCCAAGTCTCCGGTTAAAAAGGAGGGAAGCTGCTGAACAGGAACTGAAGAATCGAGGCTTGGCTTAAGTTGGGAAACATGAAACACCGGGTGGATTCGAGAAGTAGGAGGGAGGTCCAACCGATAAGCGACAGGCCCGATCCTGTCTAACACCTTAAAGGGGCTATAGAAGCGAGGGCTTAGCTTCTCATTGAGTTTCTGAGCTAAGGACCAAAATCGATATGGCTGGAGCTTCAAATAGGCGAAGTCTCCTGGTTGAAAAACAACATCTCGGCGATGGGAGTCGACAGACTGCTTCATTTGACCTTGGGCCACAGCCAAATTGTGCTTGAGGTCTTCTAAAATGGCATTTTGGTCCCTAATCTGGCGGTTGACATCTTCAATCAGGGAGGGGCAGTCTGTGAGTCTTAACAGAATGGGAGGATCCCTGCCATAAAGAGCCTTGAAGGGGGTCATTTTGGTGGAGCTGTGGTACGTCGTATTGTACCAAAACTCAGCCCACGCTAACCATTTAGGCCACTGTCGAGGTTGGGAGCTGCAGAAACAGCGGAGGTAGGCTTCCAAACATCTATTAACTACCTCCGTTTGCCCATCAGTTTGGGGATGGTAGGCCGAGCTGAATTTAAGAGATGTTCCTGCAGCTTTAAACAACTCTTGCCAAAATTGGCTCATGAAGACCCTGTCACGATCCGAGACAATAGATTGTGGAAAACCATGGAGTTTTACTACCTCCGTTATAAACACATTAGCGACATCCTTGGCTGTGTAAGGGTGGGACAACAATAGGAAGTGGGAGTATTTGTTGAGACGGTTGACGACGACGAATATAGTGTCAACCCCTTTGGCTTTCGGCAACCCACCTATAAAATCCATCGAGAGGTCATCAAAAACTTGGGTGGGAATGGGCAGGGGTTGTAACAACCCGGCAGGCCTGAGTGAGGAATGTTTGTTAACTTGGCAGGTGGCACAGGATTGAACAAACTTAATAACATCCCGACGTATACCCTCCCAATACACAATAGTAGCAATTTGTTTATAAGTCCTAAAGAACCCAGAATGGCCCCCATTCGGACTGTAGTGAAATTCTTCCAGCAACTTTGGGATGAACGCGGAGTTTTTAGGGAGGACTAACTTGTTTTTGAACAATAGGCAGCCTTTGCGAAGTTGGTAGTGAGGACGACTGTTGGGGTCGAAAAGAAGGTCTTGGACAATAAGTTTTAGCTTCGGATCAGTGTGTGCTTCAGCTGCTAGAGCATCATAGTCTGTGAAGTGGACTGTGGTAATGGCCGTGAGCTCCTTGGTGTCCTCTCTCCGGGACAATGCATCAGCTACCTTGTTAGAATTGCCTGGAAGGTAGTGGATCTCAAAAGAGTACCCTATGAGCTTCGAAATCCACTTGTGTTGATCTGGCGTTTTAACCCATTGATCCGTAAGAAATTGCAAACTGCGCTGGTCTGTTTTGATGACAAATTTTTGGCCAATGAGGTAATGACTCCACTTACGAACGGCAAAGACAATTGCCATAAGTTCCCGTTCATAGGCTGACTTTAACCTCGATTGCAGTGAGAAAGCCTTACTGATGAAAGCAATTGGCCTTGCATTCTGCACTAAAACGGCCCCCATTCCAGCCCCTGAAGCATCCGTCTGAATCTCAAATGGAAGCTCAAAATTAGGTACGATTAAAACTGGCATAGTAGTCATGGCAGTCTTAAGGTGGTCGAATGCCTTTTGAGCTTGCTTATTCCAGCTAAACGAATCCTTTTTTAATAACTGAGTCAGTGGTTGGGCTATGGATTCGTAACCTTTCACAAACCGTCGGTAATACCCAGTGAGCCCTAAAAACCCTCTCAAGCTTTTCACATTATGCGGTACCGGCCAGGATATCATTGCTGCAATCTTTTGCGGGTTAGCTCCACACCCTCAGCTGAAATTAAATGGCCTAGATATTCCAACCTGTATTTAGCAAAAAGGCATTTCTTTCGGTTCACCACTAGCGCATTATCCTGCAAAATCTGGAAAGTATGTTTCAAATGTTGAATGTGAGTCGTCATGTCAAGGCTGTAGATGAGAATATCATCAAAGAAAACCAGAATAAACTTTCGCAATAAGGGTCGAAATATTGTATTCATAAGAGCCTGAAAGGTGGACGGTGTGTTCGTTAACCTGAAGGGCATCACCAAGAACTCATAATGGCCCTCATGGGTTCGAAAGGCGGTCTTTGGAATGTCCTCGTCCTTAACCCGAATTTGATGATATCCCGACTTTAGATCTAACTTGGAGAAGACCATAGCCCCGGCAAGCTCATCTAGTAGCTCTTCAATGGACGGAATAGGGAACTTGTTGGGCACAGTGATGCTATTTAGTGCTCTAAAGTCAACACAGAATCGCCAACTCCCGTCCTTCTTTTTAACTAACAATACGGGGCTAGCGTAAGGGCTTGTGCTTGGTTGGATAATTCCTGCATCCATCATCTCCCCAACTAGTCTCTCAATCTCATTTTTCTGGAGGTAAGGATATTTATAGGGTCTGATATTAGGTGGGCTGGATCCTGGTCGCAGAGTAATGGCATGGTCAAGTTTTCGGTGGGGGGGAAGTTTAGTGGTTTGGTCAAAAACTTGGGGAAAACCCGTTAGTACCTCTGCCACCACAGGCTCTAATTGTTCCTCCTCCTGATTCTCCTAGACCTCAATTGAACTGCATTCCACCATGTAACCCTCCCCTTCCAGTGGCAGCACCTCGAGTAAGGTCTTCAGAGAAACGATTGTCTTAACTAGCGAAGGATCGCCTTTGAGAACCACCTGTTTCCCTTCCCTATCAAACGCCATAGTCAACTTGCCCCAATTAGAATAAACATCACCTAAAGTGCTAAGCCAAGTAATTCCAAGGACCACATCAGCGCCGCCCAACTGAAATGGAAAAAAATCCTGCTGCACTTCCATCCCCTGCATTTCAATCGTAACATCTCTACATATCCCCTCACCCTTAATCTTGAATCCGTTACCCACCATGACCCCGAAGGACTTCGTTCCATTAATCGGTATTCCCAATTTTTGCACTAACCCAAGTGAGATGAAGTTATGTGATGCCCCACTGTCCACTAAAACCACCACCTCTTCACTTTCGATCTGCCCCCGCAACTTCATGGTGCGATCTGAAGTAATGCCCACAATGGAGTTCATGGATAGTGAGAGAGGATTACCTTCAGGCAAGTTTTCTGGTTCTGGTTCACTCGCGTTTTCCCCTCCGTCAGCTTCATCGTCATCCATTAGCAGAAGAACTTGAAGAGATCGACTTTTGCACCTGTGGTTTGGCCCAAACTTCTCGTCACATCGGAAGCACAACCCTCTTTCACGCTTATATTGCAGATCTGCCTCTGTCAGTCGCCGGAATCCGTCGTTGCGTGGTGGAGTGGTGGCTCCTCCCATCGTTTTTTCTCTCCTATCCCATATTCGATTGTTCTGTCCTGTTTCTGGAGGCTTAACTCCTAAATTCCAGTCATTTTGACGACCCAGATCTGGCAAGAGTGAGACCCGACTGTAGCTATCGGGTTTGCTCATTGGACTGTCGGATCTGCCCATTTGGTTTTTAAAAAGTCTGGGCCTAGATTTGTCCAGTACCCAGTTTTTTTTCTTCTATCCGGTGGGCCTGGTCGATGAGTTCAAATAGGCTATTGGATTTGCTTACCCTTAACTCAGCCTTTAACTCTTCTCTCAGCCCATTTGCAAAAATACCCATCAGGAGTTCTTCTCCTAACTCACGCAGGGGGGCTGACATTTCTTCAAACTGCTCGCGAAACTCAGTCACCGTCCCTATTTGCTTCAACGCCACCAGTGCCTCATAAGCAGATCCCTTATACGATGGCCTGAATCTCTTCACTAGCGCTGACTTGAAGGAGCTCCAGGAGGTTATGGGCGACCGAGACTCAACCCATTAGTACCAGTTTAATGCTCGTCCCTCCATACACACCACCGCTCCCTGCACTTTCTCTTCCTCCTCGTACTTATTTACTGCAAAATACCAATCAGCTCTGAAGATCCATCCGAAGGGGTCATCTCCTTTAAATATCGGTAGTTCCAGTTTGCGAATCTTTTTATCCTCCTTCTCGTTATCGTTGCTGGTTTTTCTTTCGGATTCCTTGTCTGGGTTGGGATTTGGATCCCCCGGTGAAGATGATGATTTCTCCTTATTTCGTTTATCATCCCTTTCATCCCTCATATGCATTAATTCGCGCATCTCCGCTAAGTACTCCCTTACACTTCCCAGGTCAGTTTTCATCGTGTCCATACTTTCTTTCACTGTTTTCATTTCTTTTTCCACGTTTTCCATCCTATTCTCCATCTTGGGTTTGACCATTCCCTACATGGCTCTGATACCAAATTGATGGGATCACCAGAAAACCACACCAACTCAATGAAATATTGTTAATGAGATTCAGTAAAACAGCTTTATACTAGAAACAACTGATATGTTTATATATTGATTTGGATTGACAAACACTGCAAACAGAAAATAAAATGACAGAGAAAAGAAAAAGTTGGCTAGCACTTCGAGGGTCTAGCAGCCTCCCTTGATTCCAGATTTCATCCCCATTAGCTAACCACATGTTCTCTCTTAAATATAGCTGAAATCATACTTTCCACACTCCCTTACGTGGAGATTCTTCCTAACTAATTCTAAACCGCATTTCCTTTGCTGCCCCTGTCCAGTGAATTTCCCAGGCTGCCCTGTTTCTTCTTCTTGTATACTTTGGTTACAGGGGGCTTATCAGATAACAAGCTAGATGCATTGGTAACTCCTGGTTCAGATATTTCTACTGTTCTTGCAATTGGTGGATTCCCAGGAATTAGTGTCCCTGCTGGATATGATACTAAGGGCGAACCTTTTGGCATTTGCTTTGGGGGATTAAAGGGCACAGAGCGAAGCTTATTGAGATTGCATATGCCTTTGAGCGGGGTACTAAGATTTGGAAGCCTCCTCCAACTGACATAGCAAAGAATTTGATTGGACTGGCTAATTATAATTTTTGCAAGAATATTTATTCACAATATAATCTTATTTTATTAAACCTCGAAGGTGGGAGAAATTTTTATAAATTAAAAAGTGGTGTAACTATAGAAGATTTATGAAAGGATAGGAACTGGATGCAATAGTGATACCAGGTTCTAGTGCCATTCCTGTGTTGGCAGTTGGTGGCTACCTGGGGGATTACTGTTTCAGGATGCCAATTGGGATATATTACAGGGGATTAAAAGGGCACTGAATGGGAGCCAATTGAAATTGCTTGTGCTTTAGAACGAGCTGCTATGACAAGGGAGTGGAGCTCCAAATTATTAGAACTGTAATAGAAAATTTTCTTCAGTGGTACTCCAAATTGTGATGTTCTTATATATTGCCTTTACCCTTTTTCATGGTAGGGTTTGGATTTGTATCTTACTCGTTTCAAATAGTGATGCTTTCCAAGGATGAAGTCTTGGGTTTGAATAAAGGGGAACGCACAATAAAACCCACTATTTGAGGTGAATAAAAGACAAATCACAAATATGAACCCTACAATGAAATTGGGTAGGGCAATAGATAAGAATGTAACTCTTGAAGTTCCATCGAGAGAAATGGGTATGAGATATTACAATTAGTATCTGATCAAAGAAACACATAGCAATGTCTGCTCTTTATCTTATGGGAGGCAATCCAAGGGTTCACCCCGAAACCTATTATTGCCCCACTGAGATGACTAACAATCTTCTCTGAGATGTTCATTTGAGTTTTGCGGAAAACTAGGTTTGTACAAATAATTCATAAATGCTTTCTGCTTTTTTTCTTGAGACACATGATATTTTTCCTATTCCTTATGAGACTTAAGCCATTATTGGAATATGCTTAAATGAGTGAGTAGACTACTGCCACTGAACATTGCACTTAAGCCTTAGCAATTATTATGAACCACTAAATCCCAACACAAGCTGTTTGGTATTGTCAAAATATTATTAAGAGCACATTCTATCAAAATGTTTAGTTGCTTTACAAATGAAAACAATTCTTTAAAAAGCTCCACTGATATGAAAGGGGACTTTCATCGCTTATCAATATTTCTTACTGAAACCAGAGTCCAATTGGAAGCACCCCTGTTGACTACATCAGCTAGTCTTTCTTTCCATCACAGCTCAAGGATGGCTTCCAATTCTTCATCACTGAGCATCTCTCTTCTTTCGTTACTGCTTTTGATACTTCTAATAGTTAGCAGTGCATTCTCGATCAAAGAAGCAACCATAGAAGAGCTTCAGTTCGCTTTCAAGCAAAATCAACTAACATCAAGGCAATTAGTTGAGTTTTACCTTGGAGAAATCAGCAGACTCAATCCGGTCCTTAGAGGGGTCATAGAGGTGAACCCAGATGCACTATACCTGGCTGATAAAGCCGATCAAGAGCGCAAGGCTGGAGCAGCAAGATCAAAGCTTGGTTTGCATGGCGTTCCCATTTTGGTGAAGGACAATATAGCAACCAAAGATAAGATGAACACCACAGCTGGCTCATTCGCGTTGCTGGGCTCTGTCGTGCCTCGCCATGCATTTGTGGTCACCAAGTTGATTCAAGCTGGTGCTATTATTTTGGGAAAGGCTAGCATGACCGAGTGGGCTCATTTCAGATCATATGAACAACCTGGTGGTTGGTGTGCTAGAAGTGGCCAAGGAAAGGTCAGTGGATAGCCATTTTTTAGGTATATGTGTAGTTAATTTGCTCTTCAGTTTTCACTTAATGATGTTACTTTCTTATGTGTCATGGAGCAAAGGAAATTTTCCATTTATAATAGCCAAATTTTGTGTACAATAAGATTTGATACAATAGTTTTTATTTTTTTTCTTGTGATGGGATAAAATGCTCTATGTAAGTGTCTGCACTTAGTTTTGAGTTCACTTTGAGCAGCAATTGACAGATTTTCGATGCAGAATCCATATGTTCTATCGGCAGAAACTTGTGGGTCAAGTAGTGGATCAGCAATATCAGTAGCAGCAAATTTGGCAGCAGGGGCTCTTGGGACCGACACTGCTGGCTCTATCTTATGCCCATCTGGCCTTAACTCAGTTGTTGGAATCAAACCAACCGTTGGCCTCACCAGCCGAGACGGAGTCATCCCAATCTCCCCTAGACAGGACAGCGTTGGGTATGAGACATTTCTACATTTCTCTACTTCATGATCTTATATGGTGTTTTGTATTTCAAGAGTACTTAGAAGTTCAGCTGAAGTTGTAATTAGAAAATTGCAATTCTACGACCATTTTAGTGTTTAATGCTGCAGAATCCACTTTATCAACATAGAGAAAACATATTCCTCTGTTTAACTGAAAATTATAATGATATACTTCTCACAATATACACATTGATTGACAACAGACTGCTGCTCTGTGGAATTCACACAGGCCAATTTGCAGGACTGTAGCAGATGCTGTTTACATTCTTGATGCCATTGTAGGCTTTGATCACAACGATAAAGGAACCAGAGAAACATCAAAATACATCCCACCTGGTGGCTACAAACAATTTCTTAAGCCTTGTGGACTCAAAGGGAAGATCTTGGGAATAGCAAGGAATATTCCGGTATCTAATTATGCAAACGAGTCTGATGTCATTAAAGCTTTTGAGCTCCATATTCAAACTCTAAGGTAGTAACACAACAAGTTTTAACCAGTTCTAATTTGACAAAATCTGATAACCCTTAACCAAATAATGATAATAAAATGTCATGTTTGTTATGTAAGTGAAGAGCACAAGGTGCAGTTGTGGTAGACCATCTGAAATTAACCAACATTGATGGCATTGTGGATATCGTGGGGAGTGGTCAAATATTAGCATTAGCAGCCGAGTTCAAACTGGCCTTGAATGCATATTTAAAGGGATTAATTACCTCCCGAGTACGGTCATTGGCAGATGTTATAGCTTTCTACAAGAAATTCGCAAAATTGGTAAGTATATGAACATAAATTTCCTTTATTTATACATTGTTCTAGATTTGCGCAGCATGAATGAGGTTCACACTTGATGTTTATGCAGGAAAAGACCAAGGAATATGGACAGTCTTTTTTTATAATGGCGCAGGCCACAAATGGATTTGACAATGATGTGAAAGCGGCATTGTTAAATTTAACTAAACTTTCTAGAGATGGTTTCGAGAAGTTGATGAAGGAGAACAAGTTGGATGCAGTTGTGACTCCTGGTATTGACATGGTCGCTGTTCTTGCAATTGGTGGATTCCCAGGAATTATTGTCCCTGGAGGATATGATGGTGGGGGTAAACCGTTTGGGATTTACTTCGGAGGATTAAAGGGCTCAGAGCCAAAACTTATAGAGATTGCATATGGCTTAGAGCAGGCTACCAAGATTAGGAAGCCTCCTTCATTCAAGCCATGAAGCTTTATACAGTAATAAGAAAAATAGATAGATACAAACCCTGCTGCACACCCCTGAGGATGCTGAATAAGTACCATCTGGATCTTTATCACTGTAAACAGTGTGAAATTTATTGATATAGAATGGACAAGTTTAATTCTACTGGACTCAAATTTCTGAAAATTTACTCTTTTGATCATAGGATTACTTCATGAAAATCCACTCTTTTGATCGTAGGATTACTTCATGAATTTTCTTGAATATTTCTTTAACTAACTTTGTATAAGTTGTTTTTGCTGTTACATACAATATAGAAGTTAGTTTTGCTGATTTAGTTTACACGTTTAAACACTTTTGTATTCTATAAATACTCAATTACATCAATAGAACACAGATACCATTATTCCTCCCAATCTCCTTCTCCTGTTATAGTATCAGAGCTTTAAGATTTGTTTCTCTTCTCTTTTAACCTGTTGCTATGACGACCGAGACTACCAACAACTCCTCTGCTACAACAATTTCCAATACTAATGATCCACACAATACTTTGATCAGCATTAACATTGCAACTCAAGCCCCTCTCAAACTCACCACTAAGAAATATATCTCCTGGAAATTACAATTTTAGACACTCTTCGTCAGATATGACCTCCTTGGGTATGTTGACGGATCAAAAGCATGCCCGACTGCAACTATCACTCAGAACGAAGCTGTAATACCAAATCCAGCCCACATAATATGGATTCGGCAAGATCAACTCATATTCAATGCAATAGTTGGTTCCCTTTCTCCTACCCTTATTCCCTTCATCGTTCAAGCCAAAACTTCACAGCAAGCCTGGACTACATTAGCCAATACTCACGCCCAGCCTTCTCATGGACGGATCAAGCAGGTTAAAAGTCAACTCAAAAATCTCACAAAGGGCTCACAAACTATTACTGAATTTCTACAGATAGTTAAAACCCGAGCTGATGAGCTCGCAATCCTTGGAGCACCACTTGATGATGAAGATCTAACCGAGACAATACTTGATAAACCTGGTGATGATTACAAAGAACTTGTTCGTGCAATTCAGGCCAGGGATAATCCGATTGGATTCGATGAACTACATGAAAAGCTACTGTGTTTCGAAGCATCTCTACAAGGTAACAAATCTGAACCATCTTATTTTCCTGCCTCTGCTAACCAAACAAGTCGAACCTATACTGGTTCTCGCTCACTAGGCAACAATGGTTGGGAACCACCACCAAACAATGGTATCAACAACACTACCTGGCGCCCATCGCCCACCTATGGTGCTCGCCCTCCTGCTCCAAACACTGTTGGAACCAATCCTAGTGCTTGGCCTCCTCCACGACCTTACCTTGGCCATTGTCAAATTTACAGAATCCAAGGACACACTGTCGAGCGATGTCCTTCATTCCACTTAGTCCCAGTTAAACAATTCAATAACACAAATACAATAGCAGTACTATCTTCACAATGGCAACCAAGAGCTCATTTTGCTTCCAATAATTCCAACACTCCAACATGGCTTCTAGATAGTGGTGTTTCTCACCATGTCACTTCCGACTTGAGCAATCTTTCCCTTCACTCTCCTTACACAGGTTCTGATGACGTAATGATTGGAGATGGCACAGGTCTTCCCATTACTGATACTGGTTTCACCTCTCTCAAAACTCCTACTGTTAAATTTTCCTTAAATAATGTTTTGTGCGTACCTAATATGAAAAAAAACTTAATATCTATCTCTCAATTTTGCACTTCCAATAATGTTTCTATTGAATTCTTACCCTCTTCTTTTTTGGTGAAGGAATTTCACACGAGAACAACACTTTTGAAAGGTCCAACTAAAGATGGTGTGTATGAGTGGTCGATCTCCTTCCCATTATTTTCATTTTCTAGTGTCAAGACCACTTCGTCTGAGTGGCATCATAGATTGGGACATCCAACATTTCCTATTTTGAAGCAAATAATTTCCAGATATCAATTGGATTTATCATCTTCTATTTCTTCTCATTTTTCATGTAATACTTGCCGTTGCAATAAAAGTCATAAACTTTCTTTTTCTAACTCAACTCTTGTTTCCACTCAACCTCTTCAAATAATATTTTTTGATGTGTGGACTTCACCAATTCTTTCTCATGATGGCTTCAAATATTATGTGATTTTTGCTGATCATTTTACCAAATATATTTGGTTTTATCCACTCAAACAAAAGTCTGAAGTAAAAGAGGTGTTTATTCAATTTAAATCCATTGTGGAAAAACATTTTAATCTCACCATTAACACACTCTATTCCGATAATGGTGGTGAATATATAGCTCTTGATAGTTTTCTTGCTACTCATGGTATCTGTCATTTAACTACTCCCCCTCACACGCCTGAGCACAATAGCTTTTCCGAGAGACGAAATCTTCATATAGTTGAGACAGGACTTACCTTACTTTCTCATGCTTCCATTGCTTTCATTTATTGGTCTCATGTTTTTGCTACTACAATATATTTAATTAATCGCATGCCAACTTTGACATTAAATTTTTTTTTCTTCCTATGAAAAGATTTTTGGTGCCTTTCCAAATTATTTAAGACTCAAAGTATTTGGTTGTCTATGCTATACTTGGCTTAGACCATATACTTCTCATAAACTTGATTCGCGTTCTAAACCATGTGTATTTCTTAGGTATTCTCTAACTCAAAGTGCTTACTTTTGTTATGATCGTACAACATCAAAAATTTATGTTTCTAGACATGTAAAGTTCATTGAGTCTTTTTTTGCTTTTGCATCTTTATCCATTTCATCTCCACGTCTAGAGTCCAATACCATCTCTACATGGGTTCCACCAATAATAAAAGTCAACACCACCACTTGCTCTTCATCACCACTCATGCAACCATTTGACATAGATATTCAAAGGCATTCCAATTGTGAGGCTCTGACAAAAACCATCACCCCTGAAATCATATCATCTGACTCTACACCCTCTACAAATAACCTTTCAAACCAACCAACACTCAATCCACCCCCAAGACAACCCTCCTGTATCCCTTCCCATCCAACACACTCAATGATCACCCGAGCCAAAGACAACATTCACAAACCTGTCAAGAAGCTTAATCTTCATACCAAATTATCCAAATCCACCGATATTGAACCCACAATCGTAACCCAAGCTCTCAAAGATCCAAAATGGCGTCAGGCTATGTCGGAAGAATATGATGCTCTTGTTCGGAATGAGACATGGGAATTAGTACCTTCTGATCCAAGTCATAATATTGTTGGTTGTAAATGGATTTTTAGAATCAAATGTAACTTTGATGGCTCTATTGACAGGTTTAAGGCCCACTTGGTTGCAAAAGGTTTTCATCAACGCCCGAAAGTCCATTATTATAATACTTTCAGTCTCGTGGTTAAACCCACCACCATTCGCTTGAGTCATAGCTGGCCTCTTCGTCAACTTGATATCAATAATGCATTCTTGCAGGGTCACCTCTCTAAGACTATTTACATGGTTCAACCACAAGGCTTCATTGATCAAGATTATCCATCTCAAGTTTGCAAACTCAAAAAAGTCATTTATGGTCTCAAGCAAGCTCCCCAGACCTGGTATCAAGAACGTCGTACATTTCTCCTTAACTCTAGTTTTAAGAATTCTCAAGCTGATACATCTCTATTTGTACTTACCTCGAATGGCCATCTAATCTATCTACTTTTTTATGTTAACGACTTGATTATAATGGGGTATGATAATTCTTTGGTGGAAAGGTTTGTTACTCTTTTAGCTGATCGTTTCTCTTTAAAGGATCTTGGTTTGTTGACATATTTTCTTGGTGTGAAGGTTGTGCCAAACAACCATGGTATTTAATTTACTCTCTCAACGTCGTTATCTAATGGATATTCTTGCAAGAACTCACATGACTGATGCTAAACCGGTGGCAACTCCTCTTCCAATAAGTTCCTCTTCTCTTACATTGCATTGTGGGTCTACTCTTTCTGATCCAACAGATTTTCGGGCAGTACTGGGAAGTCTTCAATATCTTCTTCTTACTCGCCTTGATATTGCTTTTGCTGTTAATAAGCTTTCACAATTCATGCATAGACCTACAACTAAGCACTAGGCTCTTGTTAAACGATTACGTTGTTATCTTTGTGGCACTACAAATGATGGCATTCAGCTGTTTAAGGACTCTCTTTTATCCTTACATGCCTTCTCTGATGTTCATTGCGTTGGCAATCTGGAAGACTTTTCCTCCACCAGTGCCTATATTGTTTATCTTGGCCGAAATGCTATCTCTTGGAATTCAAAGAAGCTGAGGACGATAGCTCGTTCCTCCACCGAAGTTGAATACCGATCAATTGCTACCACAACAGTGAAACTTAATCGGGTTTCTTTTTTGTTACATGATCTGCATGTTCATCTCTCTACAAGTCTTGTTGCGCATTGTGATAATGTTGGGGCTACTCAACTCTGCTTTAATCCTGTTTTCCACTCACGAATGAAACATGTAGCTATTGATTTTCATTTCATTCATGATCAAGTTCAAGGTGGTTCTCTTCAGATTGCACATGTTTCCTTTGCTGATCAACTTGTTGGTGCTCTAACCAAACCACTTCCCCGAGCCGAATTTCTTCTTTTGAAAGAAAAGATTGGACTTTACTCTCGAGCTCCATCTTGAGGGGGCATAAAAGAGCCAATCCCGTATTTGCTGATTTAGTTGTAACTGAATTTTGAATCTTTTTGAATATTTCTTTATCTGACTTTATATAAGTTGTTTATGATGTTACCTATAATCTAGGAGTTAGTTTTATTGATTGAGTTTACATGTTTAAACACTTTTGTATTCTATAAATACTCAATTACATCAATAGAAAAAAGATATCATTATTCCTCTCAATCTCCTTCTCTGTTGTAAAGCAAAGAAATCACATTGAAAATTGTGAAATTGGTAATGGTATATCTGAGGATATATATAGTGAAGAGGAGAACTTCACTAAATATATAAGATTATAAAATACAGGAATCTATTTGTTTATAGACACTAAAATTGCTACTGATAATCAATTTTAAGGTTCTTGCCTTTTGCTTTTCTCTCGTGTAAAACATTGGTTAGAGAATGACAGAATATTGCCGCAACATGTTGACGCCCACTGAGATGTGGCGAGACCAGTAAGCGAGCTGCACGCGCTTACAAATTATGGAGACAGGCCCATGATGCTCATTGTTCCAGGAAAAGATAAAACACATTGCATATTTTCCCCTTCCTCGAATTTGCATAAAATCTGGAAGAGCAAACTAAAGTGAACTAGCAAGTTTCCACCCCTTGTTCCATTTATTTCAGATTCCCACCCTTAAAGTGACTCTGTTAGTGACTATAGAGCTCTGACAAATGCTATTACAAAACTACCGTTGTACCACCCCATTCCCATTCCCGTTTGGGTTTTGTGTTTTTTGCCCAACTTCCTAGCCTTTTTCCGGCCGCCCTCTCCACCGAAAATCATCCCCCACCCAACCATTCGACTCACTGGGCCGCCCTCTCCAAAACCCCCATATTTCTCGACCTTGTTCATCCTCTTTTCACCGTTGATTGAAGGCCCTTTCCCTAGGGTTTGGTTGAGTTAAATGATGATTGAGGTTATGGTGCTTGTGTTAGGGTTATGATGTGGGTGGTGAGTTTTGTCGACAGGTTGGCACTGAAGGCTAGTCGGAAAGTCCTACGGCCGTGGAAGACGAAAAGTCGCTTAGATGGGTTTTGCAGCAACTAGGAGATGGTGTGGGTTTTGCGAGGGCTAGGAGTTGGTGTGGGTTTTCTGGCAGGTGGGAGATGGTTTGGGGTTTTGCGGCGGCTAGGAGATGGTGTTTGAGGTGGCAAAGGGTTAGTGGTAGGTTGTTGGCGGTGGAGTTGAGGATCGATTGGGTTGTTAGAAAATTTTGGTAAAAAGACATAAATACCCTTTAATCGTTATATTAAATGATTTTTGGTTAATTTAAGGGTGGGAATGTGGAATTTATGAAACAGGCGTGGGAAGATGTCGTTGACTCAAATCTACAAAGGCCACGACCATCTATCTATAGGAGGACAAACTGAGTTTGCTGAGAGAGCTAAATTATGGCTACCAATTCACCATATCTGAGCATTTCTATGATATTTCTAGCACTATTAACATCTGGATCACTCATAATTGTCAGTCATGCATTCTCAATAAAAGAAGCAACCATAAGAGACATCCACCTAGCTTTCAAGCTAAACAAACTCACATCAAGGCAATTAGTTGAGCTCTACCTTGGAGAAATCCACAAGCTCAACCCCAAACTTAGAGGGGTCATAGAGGTGAACCCAGATGCATTAAAGTTAGCTGAAAAGGCTGACCAAGAGCGTGAGGCTGGAGCTGCCAGGTCGAAGCTTGGTTTGCATGGCATTCCCATTTTGCTCAAGGACAACATAGCAACAAAAGATAAGATGAACACAACAGCTGGCTCATTTGCACTGGTTGGCTCCGTCGTGCCACGGGATGCATTTGTGGTCACCAAGTTGATTAAAGCTGGGGCTATTATTTTGGGAAAGGCTAGCATGAGCGAGTGGGCTGGTATTAGAGCTCCCCCCGGCTGGTGTGCTAGAACCGGCCAAGGAAAGGTGAGTGGAACTGGATGTGAAAAGGAAATTTGCCAAAAACAATAACCAAATTTTACTTGCATTTGTTATTTTGTTCTCCTCAAAATTTTATCTGAACATCTATAACAAAATTGACAAAATCTGTTTGCAGAATCCTTATCTACCGTCGGCAGAACCTTGTGGGTCAAGTAGTGGATCAGCAATATCAGTGGCAGCAAATATGGCAGCAGTGTCACTTGGAACTGAAACCGATGGCTCAATCTTATGCCCATCTAGCTATAACTCAGTTGTGGGAATCAAACCAACCGTTGGTCTCACTAGCCGAGATGGTGTCATCCCTCTCTCTCCAAGACAGGACACTGTTGGGTAAGTGATATTGAAACTACTGCAATAATCAGCACTAACAACTACTGCAATAATCAGTGCTAGCAGTACGTGAAATTATGTTTATATAATATTTGATAAATTGCATCAGTAGTTTAGTCCACTTGCCTAATGATCGCCTGCTGCAGCGCATTGTTGGACCACCTTATGATTTTTTTGGTTGCTGAGGAAAGAGATTAGTTGCGTTAAGTTCCCTTTATGTTGGTGGCTGAATTTATAAAATTAAAAAGGGTGATGAAAATTTTCAAAATTATAGGGGAATATGTCTATATATAAAATTATGAAACTATTCAGATTACCTGTATCTTAGTCAATTATCAATTGTGCTCTATCAAATGTATCCAAGAAAAAGGAAGTTCTAGGTTGCTTGAGTTTTGTCTAATCATAATTTGAAAGTTGAAACCTTCTGTAAATTTACTTTAGTTGACTCTCTCTCTCGCAATAGTACATGAGCATAATTTCTTTAAGTGAACATCTATTAACAAAAAATTGGTGCCCTGTTGGATTCAAACAGGCCTATTTGCAGGACTGTAGCAGATGCTGTTTATGTTCTTGATGCCATTGCAGGCTTTGATCAGAATGACAAAGCAACCAGAGAGGCATCGAAGTACATCCCTCGCGGTGGCTACAAACAATTTCTTAATCCTGATGGACTGAAAAGGAAGAGATTGGGGATAGTGAGGCATAGATTTTCTAGCACTGCAAACTCGACACAAGTTACTGAAGCTTTTGAGCACCACATCCAGACACTAAGGTAGTAACACAACCAGTTTTAAGTTTTAACTAATGATTATTTGTCACTAGCTGAGTAGTCTTAAACTGACTCTAGCATAATGTGATTATCCGTTTTTATGAATGTTAAGACAACAAGGTGCAGTTGTGGTGGACAACCTGAAAATAACCAACCTTGACGATATAGTAGAACGCGATGCAGGTGGTGAAGAATTAGCATTAGAGGCCGAGTTCAAACTGGCCTTGAATACATACCTTAAGGGATTAATTACCTCCCGAGTACGGTCATTGGCAGATGTTATAGCTTTCAACAACAAATTCTCAAAATTGGTAACTCAATCAGCATAGATTCCCTGCATTTATACATTGTTCTAAATTTACTTGATATATATGAATTTCGTGATATTGAGCTACTAATGGCTATGCAGGAAAAGACTAAGGAATATGGGCAATCTTTTCTTGAATCAGCACAGACCACAAATGGAATTGACCATGAAGTGAAATCAGCATTGTTAAACATGACAAAACTTTCCAGAGATGGTTTTGAGAAACTGATGAAAGAGAAGAAGCTAGATGCAGTGGTGACTCCTGCTGTATATATTCGTCATGTTCTTGCAATTGGTGGATTCCCAGGAATCACTGTCCCAGCTGGATATGGTAGCAATGGCTTTCCTTTTGGGATTTACTTTGGGGGATTAAAGGGTTCAGAGCCAAAGCTAATAGAAATTGCATATGGCTTTGAGCAGACCACAAAGATTAGGAAGCCTCCTTCATTTAAGAATGATAGTGTCTGACTTTGAGCTCCTGGATCCAATGCAATAAAAAGATGAGAAACATAACCTATTTCCATAGTAAGGCAGCTATTGTTTCTGCTTTTGTTTTAAATCCATTTCATCTAATAAATTCTCTAAGTCCACTCTTCTCAATATAGTACTCCCCAAGAAGATCTCAGTTTAATTCAGAAAATTGTGCATCTGTTTTGATCATAGGATTACTTCCTGCAATTATTTTCAATTCATTTACCTCAAATTTTGCACTGAAAGGTTCTATGTCTAGAATCTTTCTGACTTCTAAAATTACATCTAATCTACAGTGAAATGTGATATAAACGGGAAGAAAAAAAGGGAAATTCGGAGAACTTTATTTCTGAAAATCAGAAAATCACAAAGCTAGATCGATGATGATTATTACTTACTGACCTCTCTTAAATACAAGAACAGAGCTACATCACTCCAGCCATTCAAATCTCTCAATTTATTCCCTGACATCTCCCCTGATTTTCTCTTCTTAATTGCAGGAAGGTGTGTGACAAAATAGATCTGGAATTAATATTTGGCTATTGATCATGAACATGCCAGACATGAAAAGTCGATGAGTTATTGGCTATTGTGAACACTGCAATCAGCTCCAGAGGGAATGGGTAGACCCGAGAAATGATGGCTCCGTTTGATTCACAATTTTGTGTTTTTGGAAAAGTTTTTTGAAAAAAGTTAAAAAAAAAGTTGAATTGGGCGGGTATTACGATGTAGAATTTACAAATTAATAAAATACCCCCTATGTTTATTTTTTTACAAAACACCCCTTATAATAAAACATTAAAAGTTAACAAAAACACCCCCAATCCACCCTCAAATACGGACAGCCGGCCACCACCGCCGGAGGGTGGCCGGAGTCACCGTAACAAAAACATTAAAAATATTTAGGGGTATTTAATTGAATTAACAAATTTAGGGGGTTTAAAAAATGTTGAATAAAGTTGAATAATATTGTNCTCCCGTTCGGGAGATGCCCATCGTCGGCGGCACCGGTATTTTCCGACTGGCACGTGGGTATGCAATTGCCCAGACGCATTGGTTTGATCTTACCACCGGTGATGCCATTGTTGGATACAATGTTACAGTTGTTCACTAGGACTCGTACGTCTAGCTTCTTCTATAATATTAATATTATTGACATATTATGCTTACATTTATAGTGTTTAATTAGTTTGGTATTTGAATAAATAAATTTTTTTCCTGAATACGAGATTACTGTTCATTTTACGATGATTTTGTTATTAGTTTTATGTGTTGGTAACCTAATTGCGTCCATTTCTTAACCAGCTTTTGTTGAATGCATAATGCACCAGCAAATTACACCTGGCCCATATATTCATTCATGGCCTTCCTGAACCACGATTGATGAATATTAATTGCAGCTTTTCGCGCATGGTAAGAGCCTATTGGGCCAGTGATACAAAATTTCAAATATAAGGCGTGGCGACAATATAATGACAGGCTGGGATTCCTTTGATCATTTTGGTCGCAGATTAATTATGGTAAACTAAAATTTGATTTCAATTAAACCTTTAAAGATGTTGAAAGGTGTAAAGTTTTATATTGAGCAGACAAATTCATTTAAGGCAGAAGTCCATAATCAGCCAGAGATAATTGGCTATAAATTGACAGAATTGACAGGAGTTTAGACTAAATATAAACATTGAAGATGTCAATAGTGGTCCATCTGGGCATGTGTAGAAGCCAAGTAGTTTCTGTTTGATCAATCTATTCTCACTTGGATTTGGTAAATATATTTTATCATCAATATTTTCTTCTATAAAATATATTTAAAGTTAACTATTTTTGGATAGTTGAGTGATTCAATAGAAACTCTTAAATATATTACTCAAAAAGTCGAGTCATTCTCTAGGTGCTAATATGAGTAAATACTAAAACTCTTATCCGATGTGTATTTTACTATTTTTAGGGTCTCAAAGGATTAATTAAAATACACATAAAGTGACCTGAACAGATTGAATGAGAATGCTTGAATGGGAATCGTCTTAGCAACTGGCTATAGCCATGAGTCAAAGCCGCCGGGAGAGGAGAGAAAATCTTTCATTCTCGATTCAAACCAATCCGGTTATTTAGTTGGGTTGTTAGTCGCAAGTCTTTCATAACAAAACAATCTTGATTTTATATGAGTCATTCTCTAAATCACATTTAGCCTTATTTTGAAGACTCAAATTCAAAAAGAAAGAAGAGCTGAGAGTGATTGACCTCTCACTCATGGCACACTATATATATATATATATGTGTGTGTGTGTGTGTGTGTGTGTGTGTGTGTGTGTGTGTGAGAGAGAGAGAGAGAGAGATTCAACGACAAAGCCTTGACATATAGTTGGGAGACTATACCTAATGGCGCTATCCAATTATTAGCAAGTGTGTCAGTGCACATGGTTTACTGGGTTTGAGAGGAAAATGCAAATGGCTGAGTCTCTCTACTGACGTTCACAGGTCCCATTTGCCCCACACAGTGGAGTCTAAAGAAGACTGCTCAAGGAATCACCACTACCAATCATACATGGTGCTGTACCATTTCAGTTTGTGGATTCCATCAGAGCAATCGAAGTAGTTGTGTTCTTATGCCACTACGAAAGCATAAGAACACAAACTCCTTCGATTAAAGAAACTCATGGGAGTATCAACAAGAAAATTCATCTCCACAAACTCTGCACTTGATGTGATCTTGGTTTACATATATTTTATATCCAATACATGCATTTGGGATAGGTTAAGAAACAAAAATTTAAATGAGCATGATGAACTCATGTAGCCATAAAGTTCCAAGTTACATGAACGCCGACAAACTAAATCAAAGAGAATTTATGTTAGCCTAAAACTAATGTGCTACAGAAATTGGGAAGAGAAATGCAACAAAGAATGTAAAGATGGCAAGTGACAACTAGTTCTGAAATACAGATCAACGTGTACAACCAAAGGAGAAACTTATTCTAGTCAGAAGCATGACTGAACAAAAGGCAATGCTCATCCAATGGCTTAATAGGAACAAAAATCATCATATGCAAATATCTAACAAATAAACTACAATCTCTATAACCAGATGAAAAAGAAAGAAANCATTCCCATTTTGCCCTTACTCTTCTTTGGGAATTCCATCTATATCCTTTGATTCATTACAAACTCACCCCCATATCAACATATTCTCCATGAAAAATCCTTACAATTAACTCCCCACTTTTCCTGCTAATTAGGGGTAGAAAGGTCAAATTGCCCTTAGGGAAGAAAATATCTAAAACTCAACCAACATTTTAAACGGGCTGTCGCCGCGGCGAAGAAACTTCCGTCGCCGCGGCGAAACTTTCCAGCAGCTTCCCCGTGGCTTCAACACCTCTTCACCGCGGCGAAGATTCTTCTTCGCCCCGGCGAAGACTGAAACACTAAACTTCTTCTATTTTCAACCAATTTCAGGGCAAACATTCAGCACAACATTCAATCAAACAATATTACCAAAAACCAACTCAAATAAGGGCGAAAGAGGAAACAACAACTACGTACTTCAAGTGGGGCGTTACAGGGTGACTATAGCTATCCACGCATGGAGTCAAGGCAACGTGCGACGACGGTTATCATTATAGCAGTCTGACGGTTTGTTGCCCCTTACGGATGGATGACACATGGCCACACCTAAGGGCTGAGATCGCTTGATGAATGAAGGGTTGAAATTCACTATAGGTTGATAATCATGATCGAACCCCACCCTTTTGTCTCCCATGCAAGCCACTATAAAAGCTGGCAAAGTCATTAGAACACTCACTCAACCCACGAAAATCTTTTGACGTCCTTGTTCACTTCGTTGTTGTTTCATTGTCATCACGGTGCTCTTTCCGCTGAGTTCTTGCACTCCTCTTACTATGGTAAGGCTTCTTTCCCCTTTCTTTATTTGTTTTTCTGATTTTCGCGTCCAAGGGTGGCCATTCTTATGGCCGTATTGAGGGTTCTAGGGCTTTAGTTGGGTTTTTTGGTGTGTCTCCGATGGTATGCTCTTTTCTTAAGTGTGGTGTCTTCAATACAACCTTCCCTAAAAGTGGAGGTAGGAGATCCAGTTAACGAATAGGCTATGGCTGTAGCTGCAACGAGTAATGATTTCTCGGATGCTCTTTCTTAATCTGATAGAAAGTGGTTCCTAGTTCTATGAGGCCATTACAAGTTTATTCAAGAAGGAAGGCAATCATCACAGGAGGAAGGAAGACTTTCAAACTCGACACATCCACTGCACGATCCTTTGGAGTTGTAGTTCTAGGATTGGATTACAAAGGGAGCAAAAATGCTTTGAAGCTCAACGAAGTCAAAGCTCGTTGACCTAGGAATGATCCATGGAGTTCTCTCTGTCCTCCCTTTGCTTGAACTGGAATTTTCCGAAAAGGTGCTTTGCACTATATGCTGGCTCATCCAATCAAGCTCTTGGCTAAATTCGAAGACACTCCTCAGGCTAGACTGTTTCTAAGGATTTTTTCCTCGCCTCTTCCATAAAGGCAGGTAGCATAGGTGTCCTTGGATTCTTCGGCTAGGTGTCCATCCACTCTATTCGCATTATCCATTGAAATACCATCCAAGGAGAGTGCACTACCAACAACAGCAGGCCGGGCCCTGGGTAGGTCGTGTGCGTTCGTTGTGTGGCACGAGCTATCTTGGGTGCTTGAACTGAAAGCAAGTGTGAATTGGTCACTGAGTTTTTGAAGCTCTGACACATGTTTGCTTTTATTTTAGGTATCCAGAAATGAGCTATAATTATGTCTTCTTCCAGCAGTCGCACAACTAATATCATGTTTGACTCACCTACAGGCTCAATAGTCATTGGGGATGTAATAACTCTCTAGCTAGTATACTTTGGGAAAATATATTATGAAATCACTAAATATGTTATAGAAAACATATATGTACATAGGTATAAGATAGTGGGCCCAAAAATAGCATTACTTTTATATAAAAATCTCTACATCAAGTACCATAGTCACAAAAATAAACTCAAAATACAGTTAGACAGTGTTGCCTTTCTCCTCCACTACTTGACTTCTGATCCGACCATATCTCATCTACTACCTACAAAAACAATGAAATCAACGGGGTGAGCACTAATTGCTCAGTAAGTAAATTCACAATACTTCTATTCTTTCTCCGTTACTCATATCCTAGATTTTCTTTCCTTACACCAAACTTCTCAATTCTTCTCCGCCCTTTATAAGATTCTAGTTTCTCACTTATCGATATGTAAGCACAAATAGGGAAACTAACTCGGGATAGTAGAAATGGCATGATGCATATGCACAAATGCATAAACTTTTTCTATGCATTGCATTTTCTGTTATGTTTTTCTGTTTTCGTTCTTTTTTCTACGTTTCTTTCTTTTTCTGTTTCTCTTCTTTCTTTTCTGTTTTCTATTCTTTCTTTCTTTTCTATTCTTTTCTTTCTTTTCTTTTTCTATTCTATTCTTTTCTTTTCTTTTCTATTCTTTCTTTTCTTTTCTTTTCTTTTCTTTCTTTTCTTTTTCTTTTTCTTTTTTATTCTTTCTTTTCTTTTCTTTTCTATTCTTTCTTTTCTTTTCTATTCTTGTTTGCCAATCGGACTTGGTTAAGGCA